ATGCACTTGACGAGCGGCAGAGAGGCCGGATGCCATGATTAAAAATGCATGCTGATGCGGGAGAGAATGTCTGCATGATGCTACCATAACACACTGAGGTGAAAAAAGATTTCTCTCACCGGATGCGTCACTCATTGGTGGGTTATTGATTATGATGAGTGAGCAGAGTGTGTTTAGAGACAGGCTGGTCCCCACAGACGATTTCCAGGATTGATGCTTTCTTTACGAGGCCCATTTTCCTCTGCTTGTCAGCTCAGCGGGGGGAAAAAGACAGAGTGTACCTGATGATAAATGGGAACTTGTTGAGATGTGATCTCTAAAATATTGAATACCGGTGGACCTACATAAGGTATATGACGGCGCGAATAGGAAATGTGCCTCATTATCAAATTTTTCCATGTGTGAGATTTGAGGAGAGGACGGCTTCCATGCATGAGAAATACAGATGGCAGTTTGTGAACGCAGATCTCACACTTCTGAAAAAAATCTGAAAATGTGGTGCAATGCTGACTGATGACTCAGATGGATATAATACGCATTTCTAGAGATATTTTATACTTGTAGTACTGCTTCAAACACACCAAAATGGACAAGAAAAAAGAAACACGCAACCACCTCGTGGTGAATGTAGTACTCAGAGCGTGTTTTCTCGGTTAAAAGGGTATTCCAAGAGTATAAAACACAAAATATAAAATACATTCTAATTTGTCATCAATCAATGGTAAAATTCAGGAAAAGGATTGTCAGAGAAATGTTCCTTAAAGCAACTGCGTATTGTTAGGATACCAATGGATGGAGGGACCACGTGTGATGAAGGGGTTGGTGTTGAATCACTTGTTTTGGTTGTATTGCCCACAGGAACATTTATTAGCTTCCATTGTTGTTTATTGAACTTATTCATACTACATCATCACAGCTCACAGTCGCCTCCCGTCAGTGTTTAATGGTGGAAGCAGACAGCTAGCGCCCAGTCGATCCACCAATAGAAACTCTTGGTTCATTCAGCGGCGTAAGCCCCGCCCACTATGTACAAACTCGGATTGCAAAGGTTTTTGTTAAGAGACCAAATCTTATTTTTTGAGACCAAAATTCTAGTTTCATAAGCAAAACTAACAAATATATATTTATATATCTTTACTTTTAAACGTTTTGGGTTTTTTTGCATAATAAAGACACAAATCTACCTTCATAGAGAAGGACATTCCATCAGAGTAAGCAAAGAACTAAGACTTTGATTACCAAGTGTGACAATTATACGGAGCCAAATATGTGCTCTCTCGCTGCCATTGTGTTCCAGCGTTATCACCCTGTGCACCGCTGGGCACAAAGTGGTGATGGGTGTCCAAAAAGATGGATTCATCATCTTCATTTTGCAATGTACGGAGAAGAGATACAATGCAATAAACAAGGAAGAGGACACACACAAAGCCCGCCATAATTGAGCTCTGCCTTGGGCTGCTGGGACCAGACCATTGTGCGGAGGCTATTCTCTGTGACGCACTCAAACAAAGCAACTTCGTAGACGTTCACGTTAGCCAAAATAACTGGTGAAACGTTAAACACAGTGGATATTTTTGGATGCTGTTTGGCTTGATAATACAATCTCAAGTGTAGCTGCCACCAGCTACAGGGAAGGAATATTGAGAGGAATATTGATGGCAGCGCATTTTGAAGAACACTGTATGTGCATTTGGACCCAAAGGGCATAACGACTCAATAGCATTGCTACTAATGAAAACTATTTAGTATCAGGGGAAAGATTGAACTTTCTTTCACCCCGATGATGCCTGTAATGAGATTAATACTGCCAAGTCGAGTCTAAGGAGAATTTGCATTGTCTTCGAGTTGACCATTTCATTATCCTGTGCCCTTGTTTTTACTGAGCTTGTTGAAACCGTTGATAACTACAAATGTATCTGATATACTATTTCAGAATAATGATAATTTTCTCTCCTCCGCCTCAAGCAAGTCGAGATGTTCTATGAACAGCATTCTCTCCTCTGCTTTGGGCGAGGTTTCGTTATTTCAATATCTTACAAAGGCTATGAAAGATTTGCCGTGACAATTTACTACTACCTAGGGACAAGTGAGAGTCCTGCCACAGCTTGATAGAGATTAATAGAGGCGGGAAATCATTAATCCTCCTTCCATTTTCGATCAGTACACAGTTGAGTCCCACACCAAGTATTAAGAAGTTTAGGAGGCAATCCAATCTTATTTTCAATTATTTTGATTTGCAATGAAAAACAAAGGATGAGTTGAAAACTGCTGAATGAGCTTGGCACATTTTCCCAAAGTATGTGTACTCACAGGCAACTGTAAAATAAATGAATGTCCAAAGGAAGATATCAACATTTGGAACGGACGCAATTTGCTTGAGTTCACATTTTCTCCCTTTTTTTGATTTGTTTGGAATCGTTTGAGATAGAACCTCCTTCCAAGTCTTCCCACTATAGTTTTTCCCTTCACCTTCTCCAGATTTTACGCTTAAAACATCAGTAGTAAGTCTTGACTACCTCGTGGGTGAAATCTGTCAAGCCTGATGCTGTAAAATCAATAGCTTTTAACATCCCTACATTTGAAGCTCGGGTACTGGACGGCTTGACGGAGCGTCCTATCTGCTGACAACATCGGCTGGGGAAAAAAGTTTGAGGTTTCTCTTCCTGTAAAAAACAGAGAAAGGCAGATGGCTTTCATTACAGATACAGGCTAGAACTCTCCAGGGAGTGAAGTCCTCCCCCGACGCAGAGCTGACATGGGACTTACAGTTTGTATTCTTCTCATCAGCTGGAGCTCTGTGCAGCCGTCGGACGTCCCAAACCTACACTGGCAGCTTTTAGGCAGCACAACTAGCACTTGGTTGGTGCTGTTGTTGCACACATTCATAAACAGGGAACCCTGAAGGTCATTTAGGTGTTTTCTAGGAACAAAGTTCAATGTTCACTAACATGTGACTCAGAAATTCTCTGAACAGCTTCTGTTCTTCCAAACCATTTGTTATGCTGAAATAAAGCTATTTAACATGGAAACATTCAACTCTACATATTGTTAGGGTGTTTATACTGAGCACTTTAAAATGTTGGGATGTGCACAGTTGATGATGTGTGTAAAGATCAATACAAGTACGTTAAAAGATGTTGTAGTTTTAACTCTGAACTCTTTTAAGTCTTTCTTTTACAATGTGGTATATCGCCAAATTCTTGACACACGTGCATGGGGCGCTGTGGCTGATGTTATACTCCGGGAGCACCTGCCTGAGAAGTACGTTGCAGTATGTAGTAGTTTTTTCGAGGGTTAATGATCGTTGTGTTACAAATGAGCCGTACAAACGTTTCATTTGAAAAGTTTAAATGCACTAATAGATCTAATGTCCTTCTTTTGTTCATGTGAATGAGCCTGTGAGGTTTGACCAATAGCTGAGAGCCGCGGTTAAATTGCCCTTTGTTCTACAGGCCCTTAGAAGTGGAAGATTGACGGAAAAACCTGTTAATGCCATATGAATTTTATACTTGGACATCATAACAATTTGAGCCACTGACCAACTTTCATAGAAATGAAGGAGGTCCATGTCCAACATGTATCTATTTCTCTTTATACATTCAGAATTACAACGTGTAGTTGTGTTCCTCTGCAGTGTATACAAGATGATACATTATATAATAAGGTGATATCGGATTAGATCAGATTACACAGACCCTCCAGATCCAGCATTATAAGCATATCTGATCGTGGTATCAGAACAACTCTGGTTGCTGCTGAATGTGACAGAATGTTCTACAGAGACTATGACAGCTGTCTCTCCTATTCTACTCAGGGACATCTTTAATCTGAATCACTGCAACAACTGAATGTGAAAATAGTGCTATAGACTACAAGTATTCTTTAACTCAGAGGAGCAGCCATGACCACATGGTTACACATACACTGACCTGTCGTGTAGTTCATGGTTTCAGAGAAACCTCTCAGTACACATGTAGTAATGTACTGAAGTACCGCAGGAGGTGCTGAGAGCAGTGAGAGCTGTTGATGAGCATTGGACAAAAACAGTTGTTTTCTTCGTGTAGGCCCAAAAGCTGTGCAGTTTAATTATGTTGAATAGGTTCTGTGATTCTCCCGTAAATCTGGTCAGCCGTTTGTGGCCTAGAGTGCAGTACAGTACAGTAAAACCAACACAGCACTTTGCTGCACTGGATGGATTCAGTATCAATGGGTAAATGAAAATATACTCTAATCGTATTCAGGGTGGGTTTCTAGGCTAAATCAGGTTAACACTGCCAGCCCGAAATAAGCTGAATGTGTCAAAAACTACCTCTGTCTTTTGTATATATATATATATATATATATAATATGATGAGTCTTTCTTCACTGGTCCAACATGGGGTTTAACAAAGGACTTATTTCTTGCCAGTTCCTACTGGAACAAAATCCAAGAGCTCCCAGTTTGGTCCCCACTTATTTGTGAGGGTCTGCCATCATCACACAGCAATCTCACAGATGGCTTTCCCCTGTTCCAATCTTGACACACCACTCGAGCCCTGGTTATTCATGTTCCCTCTAATGAGTCTGCCATACAAAACGTGGAGTATACAGACATAAACTGTGCACGAACCAGCATCAACTGTCTTATATCTGCATTGGTTTGGAGTCCACACAAAACAATCCGAATGGCTGCAAGGGACAAAAATATGTCACGGTGCATGAACCATATTACAGAGGGCCAATTGTGTAGGACCTGGTGGTGAACACAAGCACAGGACAAAGGCCGTAAAGGTTGAGGTGGTCACACCGCTGACAGCAGCACTCTTCACAGGTTCTGCTGTGCTCGCACTCTCCATATCAGAGGCCCCGACATAGCGATTCACTTTGGTTCTTGGCTGCATGAAAAAAAAGAGGAAACTTTATGTTTATTTCCCTCTGGTTTCATTTGACTCCAGTTTTGTTGTGGGGAAAGTGTCTTTGCTGTGTGTGAGATCTGTTTACAGCACTGGGACTTGCTACTGTTTGTTGCTGAGACGTTTATTTGGTTTATTTGTTATATTGACAGATTGGTTGGTTGTTTCTTCCACTCATTTCACTAAAAGTCCAATCATTTGCTCTTCTGCAAAACGGTCTGTGGCATCCAGAGGGCTTTTTGGTTGGTTTTCCGAGAAGGGAAAAAACCTGGGTCATAAATGATGCACACATCAAGAATGCGGCATTCATGTGGCTTGGACCTTCTTCAGAAGCTGAGCAGCGGAAACACAGAGGTCTTCTAACAGAATGCTGCCCTCTAGTGGAGAATGCGACAAATGACATAGAGCAGTTACAGGATAGATTTCTGTGTATAAATTAACCGGTAATGTACATGGTTTGCAAGAAATTTCATATTTACTTGAAATCAAATAAATCTATAAACAAATAAATATTTAAATTTATAACAACATCATAAAGACATTGTGTCAGAAATTAAAGCAACGGGGTGATAACAGATTGCCTCCAGGATATTGCAGTCGAGGTTGTGATCCAAAATATACAGAACAATTACTGCATTGAAAAGGGATAATAGCAAATGTGGGAATGTCGTACCATAAACTTTGCTGCTGTAACAGTACACCATTTTGTAGGTAGTAAAACAACGCTAATCGGCCACCGAATTAGATTGAAAGCTCTGCTTATTGTGACACGTTCCTCAACATCGTAGGCGTAGACATAACATGAGAAGACTGACACAGACTGATACGTATACCAGCTGAAGGCATCTTACCCAATGCCCAGTAAAGAAGGGTCGGCAGCACCTCTGTGTCAGATGCGTTGCTGTAAGAAACACTTTTTTGCGCTCTTGCTGTTAGCACCAATACCATTTTAGAGTCCAGAAAGAGAGAGGGGGGATCAGGACGAGACTGAGCCGGAGTCCTCAACATCTGTGGAGTCTTTTTCGTCGGCAGACTCTGTGAGGGCGGGGTACGGTCGCGGCTGGTCCAGGTTGACGTAGGTGACATTCAAACTGATATAGTGCTCTCCCTCCAGGCTGGAAAGGATGGTGGAGACGGCCAACACCAATGTAGCAAAGCTGGGCCTCAACTCTGGATCAGGGTCCCAGCACTGAAGGATAATGATATACCTAGAAAAGAAAACATGGCAGTCTGAGTCCACTACTGTATATTAACAGTGCGCATGAGAGTTTACTTCCACATTTAGTTATCATTGTTCAGAATTCCGTTCCAGTCACTTTAAAAACACGTTTGGGGTCCTTCCAGAAGCGTATCCTCGTACGTTTTGTCAAATGTACACTCGTGTGTGCGCATAGTTTTTACAAAATCAGAACAGGAAACAACTTACTTAGGTTTAGGCAAAAGTATTTAGTAAAGTTTTGTCTCAAGGAAAAGATCGTGGTTTGGGTTTAAATAACTGTGTAGGTGGCGTTACGTGAGGAATACATTAACATTGAATTCTCATTACAAGAACAGAGGTCAAATGGGTCAAAGGCCGTTTGCATTTGACCCCTGCACCAACACTCCCGACCGCCCAATGATGCTTCTTTGCTGTATTTGAACTTGCTGGTTCATGTAAAAAGTGGAAAGTTGGTCCCAGCAAAAACAACTCCGCACATAATACCAAATTGTTGTTTTTACACTTATGACAAATTAACGAGAGGATCCGGTAGGTGGATTTTGTTAATGTTAGACAGAGCTAGCTGTTAGCTCTGTAACTAACAATTATCTACTCACATTTACAGTCTAAGCTGAGGCGCCTTTACGGCAGCACAGTGAACAACACACACATTCCCCCAGGTCAATAAAGGATACTTAAAGCTTAGCGTTATGTTTACTGTTGGTTGTAGCTTCATATTTAGTGTACAGACATGAAAGTGAAGTGAAAGTCTTTTCATCTAGCTTTTGTATAGAAAGCTTTATAATACCCCTTTTAATACCCAATGCTGGGGATCTGCATGTGTCCCTTGGTGCTTCTTTCTATTAGGACAGAATAGTTCATTTATTCTCCATCAATCGTTTTTTCACTGTAAAGTCAGACCGGTGTGTGTGTGTGTGTGTGTGTGTGTGTGTGTGTGTGTGTGTGTGTGTGTGTGTGTGCGTTTTGGGTTGAGTGAAGGTAGAATATGTGTTTAGTAGATGTAAACATTAACTCCCAAGCTGCATTGTTTAACTGTGTTGGAATACTAGGTAGTGGAGAATTTACGATTCTCACACTACTGAGTGACCATGCGAACATCGTGTTATTACTACTTGGACTTTGTTCTTCCGTCTTGTAGTTGTAAATCAGTTTATTATTGCAGTATCTGTAGTAAAGCTCTCAATAAACGGAAGTTGTACAATGGATTTATGCAAAAGTATCGTGTACTATTTAAATCAAGTGTGAACATAATTCTATCACTCCCACTACTTACAAAGGGTCAGGGCAGTACTGAGGCTGGGGAAGCCTCCTGCCCTTCAGTAAGTAATGTGTTATGTCATAAGGGTCCACCTCTGGGTAGGGGCTCGCTCCCCTGGTCAACATCTCCCACATCAGCACACCAAAGGACCACTGCATCCGGAGAGCAAAGGTTACACATGAGCACCAGTACGTTGACATGATGCGAGTGGAGTGGAATAGTTAAACATAATGTTTACCATTATCATAGCTATAATACAACGACAAGGTTATGAATAAAAATTCTTGTGATCCCTTAAACCAAAGGAGTGTCTACGTGCCACTCCTCATCGTAGATCATATCTACTCTGTAACCATTCCAGCCTTTAACTCGTTTACCTGTTGTAATTTTCACATTTTGATAGGCCTAAAGAAATTCATCAAAGGTTAGAAAAACATCAGAAAAAATGTATTTCTGCTTCCGTGTCGTGTTAATCACGGAGTAGAATAGGGATTCCTAACATTTACATATACATTTACAACACTTGATGATGTACATGTAGAGGATAGCAGACGACAGATAGTTGACATTAAAAGAAAAAAGGAAATTTATTGAATCAGACACATAATTACTGCACTCAGATAATGACATTTTATATCTATTTATAAGACACGCGGCATTCGTTAAACATGTATATCCACCCTTTGACAATCACTAAAAAGCTCCTGATTGTATGTAAATCTCACCACCTCAATTTGCTCACCACATCAGACTTGGAGGTGAATTTCTGTGTCTGCAGACTTTCGATTGCCATCCACTTGACGGGCAGCTTAGCCTTCCTGTGGTCCTGAACACTGTAGTACTCCTTATCAAACACATCTCTCGCCATGCCAAAGTCTGCCACCTTCACTGTATATGACTCGTCCAGCCTGAAGACGAAGGCGAAAACGGCATTATAGTTTTGTCAAATTGGCATGTAACAGTGAAACAAGCTCAACCGAATTGTTACCATGAGACAGCAACCTACACTAAATCCAAGACAAATTCCGGCCTTATGGCAAGTAATGAAATGCTGAATCCTCCGTGCATCTTGGTGACTCACATGCAATTGCGTGCTGCAAGATCTCTGTGCACAAACTTCTTCTGAGCTAAATACTCCATCCCCTTGGTAACCTGTAGCCCAAAGCCAATCAGATCCTTGACGGTGGGGTTCTGAACAAGTCCCACAAACACAAAAAAAAGACACTTTGTAAACAGAGGACTGTAGATAAATCAGATGATTCATTTTCACTGATTTCATGCAGGTTCACACCCTTTTCTCGCAGCGTATGAAGTGTCGCAGGTCACCGTGTTTCATGTACGGTAGTACCACTAAAGGGAGTCCCTCCTGCGGCAGGAGAATGCCCAGCAGAGACAGCACATTAATGTGGTGGAAACCCTTCATTATGATCCCTTCCTTTAGAAACTGCTCCACCTCTTCAACATCTGTTATTCCTGGTGACACACACACATTAAAGATTATGGGCTCAGATCAAATGGAAGAAAGCCACTAGGATCACAGTTATGAGAAGGCTTTCTGCAGCAAATACATAATGTTACTCACTGTTCAAAGACTTGACCGCGCAGTGGATTTCTCTGTTGCTGGGGTCTTTGAAGTAGCCATGGTAGACAGTGCCAAAATGACCTACAGGAGGGAGAAATACGCATTGACGAAGCGAAAACAAGGCTTCATAACAAGTGTTTTTGTTTCAGATATAGGCAGTCGGGCTCCTCACCCTTCCCTATGATCCGCTGGTGCTTCACAATGAGCATCTCAGCGGGGATGAGAACATCCTTCACCTCCTCCAGCAGCTCTGGCCTAAAACTGGAGATGGAGATCTTCTCTGAGGGCATGAGGGGGGTGAGGGCAGGATCTATGTTGGCTGCAGCATAGCTCCGGCTGGGGAACACCACCGACCCAACCAGTGGGGTGGGAGGACTCAGTGATACTACTTGTAAAAGTCCAGAGAGAGGGGTTTATTGAGAGTTAGGAGGGTGTGTGGGTCAGAAGCAAACTAGCTGTACTGTATTACAGTGCAGTATGCTAAGTATTCCGCTAGAATGTCACCTCTCCTGTAGTCCCCAACAGGCAAGAGCTCCATGTTATTTGTCCCGGAGCGGCTAGGACTGTGGGTCAAACGGCTCTCTACCATGGAGGCTGAAAAACATGTCATAAGGTTTTTAATCATCAACCCCAGGACATGTACTTCCCATGACACACCAGGGATGTTCTGGTTAAAAGACTTAATGCAATTCATCCCAATATTCCCCCCATAGCAGGTTCCAGTTGCACAAACAGGTCGGACCAAAGTCCACCTAACAGAGAGGAGCCCACCTTTCTTCTTCTTTCTCAAGTGTTTCATAACAACGAAGGCCAGCACCGCCCCAGCCACCAGAGCCGCCAGGATCCCCAAAACAATGCCCACCATGTAGTGGTTACTGACCCTCACCACAGTACCAACGTCGTGGACCTGCCCGTTGATGGAGATCTAAAGAACAGGGTTGATCATACATAGTGGTTCGGGTTAGTTACTATTTTATAAAGAGCGCTTTAAGAGCTGTACAGGTACTGAGGATTACTAAGAGATAAACAGTACAACAGTACAAATATTTAAAAAGTAGCACATTTAAAAGAATATATGTATTTAATGTATTCAATACAAACAAATGGAGCTTTTCGTGTCATTTGTCCTGGTTGGTTATCACTTGACAGTCACAAGCACGAACTGGGGCTCAGCGTTACATGGCAGATCCCAGTAAGTCAGTCAGTAAATCGCAATCTAAACCCCCGGACAGATTTACCTTCACCCGCAGGCCCTCCCCGGGGATGGTCATGTTCTTGGGGATCCTGCAGGTGATCTCATTATCCAGGACTTTAGCGTCACAATTGACACCCGCCACTGTCATAATGATAGTCATACAGGAGCTGACCAGATTCAGCTTTTGATGCTGTGTACATGGAGGTTAAATCGACATATGAGACAATCAGTTATTTTAAAATCTATAATGAATATGGTAAATCCACTTGAATGCCATTAAATGAAAAGGGAATTTACATGTAGTGAGACTTCATCAAACCCGGGGTACAACTTCAGCACGTTTCCATCTGTTTCAAAAGGAATGGGCTCGCCATAGGGGTGGTAGGAGAACTCTTTGTTCCATAGTCCCAACGCTCCGTCCATGTCAAAAGAAAGCTGTCCTTCTTCTGTCTCATCCCTGGGGAACGCAGGAGAGATGCACTCCATCCTCGTGGGCAAGGACTTGCCGATGCACTCCTGAAACAAGACAGTGTGGTCACGCTTTTGTGGAAGACCAAAGATGGGAGAGGAATCAAGAAACTGACTGTAGGCTGACTTAACAGAATTGTGCTTTTCAGTGAATCTTCTGTAGATTACGGTGAACACTGTACCCTTGTCACAGGTTTCAAGTGGCTCTCATTGGGTTTAAAGCGGATGACAGTGCGGTAAACAGAATCCAGGTTCTCCCCCCCAATGACAATCTTCGACCCCCTGCGATTCAAGCAAACGTGAGACATATTTTCCTTTTCTTCATGTCAAAGGAAATGAAATTGCTTCCTGTTACATCTGAATTTGCAATGTGTTAAAGATGACAAAGAAAAATGAGAAAAAGTGGCTGACCTGTCAAAACTACAGTCAGGCAGGACGGCTGTAATCATCGGGTTGTCTTTGTAGTAAAACACCTTTGTGGTGAGGACGGGAGACTTATCGATAAAAACGCTCAGGGGGACGTCCCTCACCTCTGAGATGGCCTGGGACAGACAGATGATGGAGGACACATTGCCTTTGGGCTCTGTGACTCTGGAGGGAGACAGAGTTTTCAGAATCAGATCCCTCGACAACTGTAACATGTAGCATGTCCAATACGATAACACGGATGATAACTTGGATGCCAAGTCCAGTCCAGGGGTCAGCCTGTGGTAGTGGGATGAAAACGGATGCAATGTGTTTCCAGACCTCTTTATAGGACAGGGCATGTCGTTGAGAGTAACTTTTCTGGTCCTCCCAGCATCCAAGTGCGGCCCAGTTATTGTGATGAGTGTGCCCCCAACACGAGGTCCATAGTTGGGCTGGATTTCTGTGATGTTGGGAATCTAGAGGAACATAACCGATTCCCCAGATTAAATACTTTTTAGGAGGATTTACAGCTTGTATATCTAAATGAGGATATTAGTGTATGACAGCAGCAAAGCTTACCACAAATGTGAATCCTGGCATTTCTGCCTTCCCGTCAATAGAGTAACGTCCCTCCACCTTGCCCTCGTGCACCTCCACTGTAATGTTAACTGGTTTGGACAGCTCAATGGACCCAGAGCGAATCTTACATACCAAGCTGAAGAGCAGCAACACAAAACAAGTGTGTGGGTCCCAGATTAGATACGGTAAATTAGTTCAATAGTTCGCTAAATCTCATCAAAGCGTCAGCTGTGCCTCATGTTCTGTTGATCTTTTTGGGTTTTCTCAGTACAGCCTCACAGATGCACTAGTGTGGCTGTAGACTCATAGTGGTTAACTGAACATGTTGTTGTGTCACACAAAGATATTCCAACACATCAGTAACCCGAGTAAGCATCATAGGGCACATATCATGTTTTGACGTTTTGTCGAAGTCAAGACACTTTTTCAGTCAGCAAGAGGTCTACCTCAGTAGACCAGATCCCAGTGCAAAAACATTACGGGCTGTTGTTACTTACGCAAATTCTCGTTCGATTTCTGGGGGGGAAAAATACAAGCCTTTTCTTTTTACAAAAGGGTACATTTATCCCATCATTTCTACAACAGATTGGACTTGGAAGCAGAACAAGGTCTGTGTGGATACTCACTGTGTGTTGTTGCTTTTGACTGGAAGCACCGTACATGGAGTCTGTCCCAGTCGGACCTGGTGGGATCTGGAGGTGATTGCAGGTTTCAAGGGAGACTGGAACTCCCATCCGCACACCGTTAGCTCTGTTTGACCATCAGGAGGAGCAGTCCGTGGAAAGAACTGCGTCAATAAAGCAGAATACACAGTGCCACCTTAAAATGAAATGTTTTCATTAGTTGGACAAGGAGACACGTGTATCCTGCATTATAGAACAAACCTCACCCCAGTGATCCCCGGCTGGCACGACTCGTTCCTCCAGCGACTGTGACACTCGCTCTCCCAGGAGCACACTCCGGAGCACCAGCCACAACCCATGAACTTCGGTGCCGTCAGGCACATGGCACAAGTCAAGAAGTGTTGACAGCCCGGCCCTTTCTGGGGCACCTGAATCATCTGAAACAGAGGGGTCACATATTCATTCATATGGCCTTGTACTGCTTCATTATTAATGTGGCTATTACTATAACATGTAAAGCGATACTGGGCCTCGTTCAGTAGACACCTCCTGGTAAGGGGACGTCCAACACACTGCTCTGATAAAATAACACAAGGTAAAAGTCCAATGTGTTAAGACCAATGTGAATACTGATCCATCACCAGTTTCTAATATCTACACCGCTGCAAACTGTAAAGTGATAACAACTTTATCTATTTGCTTTTGGCTTTGGCCACCAGTTCAAGCTTACAGGGGTTGTAACCTATTCCATCATATAAAGGGAAGAGAGCAGGAAAACATCATCTTCCCAAATCATTTGCTATTGTCTTTGTGTCTAGTCTGTGGGAGTAAAGTTAGGTTGGGTGAGGTTACTTTTATTTGGACCCATTGGTAGACTTGGATTACGATAGAGAGCGAGGCATCCATCTCGACAGACATTACAAACAACACAGACAACAAGACAAACATGATAAAAGTACAAAAGTTGACCCTGAGTGCCTTCTGATCAGATGCCAGAGCCTTTGTATTTCACTCTCATTTCATGGGAGTGCTCTTGTACCTTGTCTCCAACCACAAAGAGAAGATACTCTGCTGAGTAAACAGCAGCAATAGACGAGACTCTCTGGTTCTCTACCAAAGAGTAATTGGCAAAGATTAGAGGGCTGGATCTTGTCAATACAAGCTGTCAACACAGACAAAACATGATTATTAGTAGTGGACCATATACAATGGTCAAGTTGGGACAAATACCAGATGACAGTGTACCTGCAGCAGGCGTCCGGTTGAGGTGCCAATATGGGCAACGGTCTTGTTCTCTATAGTTGTGACCAGCAAGGATGTGAGCAGGACATCTGTCATCTGCCTGTTGAAGAGGTCCACTCTGTAGTAGGGCTTTGACATCATAGTAGGATGGTCCCTGCATGTGGCATTGTTCTCCATGCTCTAGTACCAAGGCAACAAGCAGCAAAGGACATGGAAGTAAGACAATGAGGAAGACATCCGAGTCTAAAACAGGTGGCAAAGGCTTTTAAATACAGAACAGCAAATTATAATATTCAAATATCCACCAACTACACACTGAGATGTCAAGGAGATGAACGTGTAGGAACAAGCCAGTAATTGGGCGTTGTACTTTTATTTTATTCTTTTTATCCAAAATTAGCTTGACAGCTCAGAGCATGTATTTGTGAGAGATTCACATTCTCAGTGGGTAATACTTCTTCTTCTAAAAGCGCGTAGTGAGACAGGCCTGGCTGTTTGCTTGTGAGCAGGATGAGCTACGAGCTTCACTGGTCACCAAGGAAGTCCCCGGCGCACCAGGAGCACAAGGCAAATCTGCCGTTATAATACCATCATTTTGTGATCTAAGAGGCCATGATAAATGATTATGTGCTGCGCTGGCGACAGCAGGATTGCTGCAGACACTCAGCTGAACGGATCACTGTTTGGATTAGAGGCAGGCCTCGGGTAAACACCGGTTCATATTTTCAGGGCACAATATAACGACAAAGACATTTCCCTTTCTTGTCACATAAAAGGGGATACAGGTTTCCTGAACCATGAACCGCATATCTTACTGACATTAAAATAGAAAAAGTGACTAATCGGGTAGCTTAAGGACACACAACAAGAACACAGAGAATAAGTGTGAACATGGACAAGACAAATGACTACTGACATATGTTATATCCTAAACTAAAACACATTTTCATATTTTAGTGAAAGCTGCAAGTGGTCTATGATCAAATGAATCACATGCTTGCATTAAAAAATGTATCATTCTACATTATAGAGAAAAGGATGATGTTGTTGGCACTAAATGTGTTTTCATCTGCAGAGAAATGGAAGAACCAGGATTTCAGAAAATGGCACAATCCCGCTGGCATTCACCCTCTCAAAACAGAGGCCTCAGGAGAAAAGTTCACTAGTTCCTTTAGTTTAAAACTAAAGTTAATTTTTCAGCTTCTGACTCACAACTCTGACTTTCTTACCACATGTTCTACGACTCAGCATCAGAACTGTGGTATTATTGGTGCAATAACATCAACGCAGCTTTGGGACCTCAACTTTTTACTCATACTGGAAGTCCCTTCCCATCCGCCAACACAGAATAACGTAACATTAAAAAGTTATATTACGGGAAATATGCACAGGTTCTGGAAATACAGTTTCCCAAGAGTATTACAACAATAAACCAATGTAGTCCTACTCTGAGACGTTCCGAGGGCTCACCATGGCCTTAACAGGCTACTGAATACATTCACATCCCTCATTGCAGTTATGACTGACGTGAGATCAAATCTTAAAATAGTTTTATCTTCTTACCCTCTTCCTGTTTGGCCTGAGAAATTCACTCAAGAAACGCAGCCCTCAAACCTCACTCCCACCTGGCCCATGTCCAATTTCCATTCCAACATTCTTCCATCCTTATTTTTAAATTAAAAAAGCAATCTGTAACCCTGATTTCTTAAATTCAACAGTGAGTGCTCACTAAATGATGATGCAAGTGGTTCTGGTTGCATTCCTTGGCCAGCTGTCATGCAAACAACAATAATGGTACCTGATAGGAATACAAAAAAGTTTCCAGTTTTACGGTAAGACTAAACTCAAATATCGGGCCAAAGAATATTATTCCAATCAAGAAAATAAAAAAGCCTGAGATGCAGTTACAGTTTTACTTGTCTGCTATCCGGCTATTCTCTTCACTTTCAAAACCTCCCCACTGAGAAACATTCACTGTGTCAATTGCGTTTTTGGGGAAATACACGTTCGGTTTTCTTAAAACCCCAAAATATATATTTTTCCCAGAATGTCACAGAATAATTTCTTGAAGAGGAAAGGTTAAAAGATGTTTGCATTTATTCTATGCTATGAATAATATCTCAAAGGCACATTTAATTCCCATTTCTGTTGACAATGTTTCCCTGCTGTTTTTAATTGTCTTTTAATTCCTGCATTTTATTTCACTTTATTGTATAAAATGTTATGATGTGAAGCACTTTGAGTCTGCCTTGTGTATAAAAAGCGCTATACAAATAAACTTGCCTTGCCTTCAACGATATGTCGTTTTCATGTTTGTTTGTTATTGTCTGTGCCAGTAGTGTGAGTGAAGTATTCTTTTGGTTGTGGGTTTACATAATTTCATCATATTTTTCCAGAATAATCCTAAATAAAACAAATGATGAAGGTTACGTACTGCTTTTACCTGTTGGATATCATCTCACCTTGTTCATGTGACAACAAGCTGCCATGTAGCCTATTTTTGACACTCCCAAAGCTAGTTTTCCCTCAGTCAGTGTTGGAATGCACTCGCATACATTCCACGGGTTCATTTGACATTTATATGAGCCGCAGACCGTCTCAATTGTTTTTGATCTTTCTGCTAACAGGTTTTCTATAGATGGACTTTTATTCCCTGATTGGCCGGACCCTTTGAGAAGCAGGAGTGCACTTCCCCTGCTATTCATTTATACACCTCAATGTTAGAAGTATAGTGCATATAATCAACAGAAAGTTATACTATGTTCTATGTATGTAATGACAGCAACAAAAGACACATGACGAGCACATGACCAACACTTGATTGTCTTGATGATCGATGATTTTAAATAAGTGTTGGCAGACTGAGGAGAGGAGACAAGCCCCACAGAATTATACAGAAAGGACTTGCATCTTTAAATTAGATTGGAATGTTCTTGCTCCATCAATCATAAAGCAGTAACGAAGGTGTTGGCTGTTTGGCTTCCTGTCAAATACCTTGACAGGCTGTCCGTATACTGACTGTGCAGTTTGGAGTGTTGAACAGGAGGCGTGTGCCTAGTCAAATAACACAGAGTAAGACTGTTTTTCTGCTGTAATGTTAATCCATTCCAAATATACAATATATATGTAATGATGCCTCTTGCGGGGATACATTTGGTCTAATTTTTGTCAAACTACAATTAAGTACCATTTTGCCATTAATGCTACATGTGGCTCTAATTTGTCATTTTCACAGAAGCCATTTGGACACGTAATGACCAGGTAAAAGGAGTAGTTGATAAACCTGAAGGTGCCATTCTATTTAGTGTCACAGACATTACAAAACGCCAGCATGCACAACACAACTTTCACTTACCCTACCATCCTCCAGTACAACACACCCAAATTGGTCTTTCCAAGTGCTCAGATCTCTTCAATATGTACACACATGTTAAGAAAGAAGACATCATGTGTTGCTCCACACCCTCGTGATGAGATTTTCATACAGGCCCTGTCAAGAAACCTGCCCTGAGAGTAATTACTTCTCTATATGACTAGCGTATGGGACGATACCTCAGACGAGTCTTGGCAAGAAAAGGTAGGAGGAAACCCATAGATAGTCTCATCCATGTTAGGGATAAATGCACTGTGTTAGTGGACGACGGCCTCACCTCATGTGGACAGCTCTCACAGGGTTGGAAATGGCACAGACCTCTGGAAAGCTGCTCTGGTCCAGACTTGCAGCAGTCATCCACCCCATCCACGATGGCTTTGTTCACGTTGTCAATCGGGAAGGCGCACAGGGCCGAGTCGTGCTCCGTCACCCCGTTGTCATCAGTGACCGCAAAAACCCCATAGAGGATGTCGTCCTCCTCCTCGGCGCCCAACTCCTCTGCCAGCTCCTTGCCTGCCTTGCCAAAGTGGGCTGCCTGGACCACGTTGTACACCACGTCCTTATAGGGCTCGCTGGCTACGTTCCTCTTCCGGCGCTTTGGTTCGAACCGACACTCCAGGATCACCTCGCGGTACCTTTTCATCTCCCATTCATTGCGTGGGAGACGGCCCAAGCGAGTCTGAAACGGAGAGGAGTCCTGATAGGGGCTCTCTCTCTGAACTGAGAGGAAGTAGACAAACTCCTGAGTAAAAAAGCTGTAGACGTATTCAATTTGGTATGTCCCCCGCAATCCAGGAAGGACAGTCAGGCCACGCACGTCCTTGTAGAAGCCATCTTCTGTGGCCAGTGGTCGACGCACTGATATGGACTTCCTTGCGTACCGCTGGGTAACGCTGTCATTGACAGTGGTGGCAACAAAGAAGTAGACAGTCTGACCCTCTTCGACCATTGTGACTTTGGTGCCAAGAGGGCTGGCCAAACAATCTGGACAGTAGGCAGCGGAATTAGAATCCTTTCTGAACAAACACTTGGAAAGGGAAGGCGACTCTCCATTTGGGTTTAGTTGGTGGAAATAGCATACACCATACTGAGAACTTCCACAAGAGTATAAAGACATAAAGAGAGTATCCAACAGCAAGACCTGATTGTTTGTCTCCTCCAGGATGTTAGGATCCTTGTCAATGTCGCACAAGTCGCATATGTGACACTCTGGGCTTCCCACCGGCCCAGTGCGGAGCTCCCACACCTTCTCCAAGCTTCTGTTGACAGCTTCGATCACATTCTGAGAGGCAATGTACACCTCCTGGTAGAGTGAGTTATTGACTAAGTTCTGGATGGTGCCACGGGCCTGAAAGAAGGGCATTGTGTAAACCACAGAGAAGTTGACTGGGCTGGGGGCAAGCAAGGGAGCGTTGGCCTGGGCTAAGGCCAGTAGAGTCTGGACACAGACACATGTCCCCCACTGTGTGGTCCAGTGGACCATGTCCAGTCCGGGGTGCACAGGGAGGCAACGGCACAGACAACGTGGGGTTACCTCCAGGTCTGATGTCGGGACCAAAGCATCCTGAACACCACCCCAGATACCTGAAAGAAGAAAGCAGAATAGGTCATTAAATCAGTCGAAGAGACACTACAGTTGAAGAGGGTAAACTCTTTTAATCAATGGATATCGCCATGAAAAGTCAACAGTTATTTCTGGATCTGGATGTATATGCTCCTGATATGCTTCAGGCAAGACAGAAAATATGAACTTTGGATTGAAGCCAGGTTCTAAATTCTTGTTTCATTTTGTTCTCAACAGCCTTATGTGTCAGGGGATGCGTGGGAAAGGCAGGACTCAAACGCAGACTTCAGACGCAGACGGGCCGCCCGCCATAGTTTCCCGGGCGGTCCGACCAGCGTCTCTGGTTTCCCTCCCCCCCGCCCCTTGTTTGTTGCTGTGCTAGTTTAGGGCCGTCTGGGATTCGGCCCTTGAGGGGGGGTACTGTCACGGTGTGGTTCACTTCCTGTCTTATTTTGTAGTTTTCTGCCACTCCCACGGGTAACTTCACTTCCTGCCTGGTCCTGTCATCCCCTGTGATTGTCGGATTGTTTCCACCTGTGTCCAATCACCTGCACCTCCCAAGTGTATTTAAGCCGTGTGTGTTGTTTGTCACTTGTGGCGTCATTGTCACGGATGTTCCCTGTCTTTTGTCCTGGATGTTCCTCGTTCCTGCCAGCCTTTTTCCCCCTGGTACTGTGTTTTTTTCTGAGTCCTGCCTTCCCACGCATACCCTGACATTATGTTTTCTAAAATACAGTATGTTTTGCAAGACCCTAGAGATTTTGTATCTTTAATTTAGTGATAGTAATAACAAGCAGACACCATGTTTCCCAGTTGATACATTGAAACAAGTCATTTTTGTATTACCCGTTTTCTGAAATGTTTCCTTTACAATGGAGAAGAAGGCATCATGTAAAGCAAGCTTTTGGTAAATTATGGAACCACAGCATACAAAATTCACCCTGGACGCTGAAAACATCTTGACAGAAAAAAATCAGCTTCTTTCAGAGCTAAAAGGAAATAGTGGATATTAGTCAAAATAAGCGTATTTATGTTGTGCACTGAATCTGAACATCTGAGGTGATAATCCATCATCTATGTTGTACCAGATGATGATAAAAGTGCATGTGGTCATAAAGATAAAAGCTTTCTGACTCACTGCTTACATAATAAAACAGAGAGCTGCGTTGCTGGTGCTCAGCATAGTACACAGTAAATAAAACTGTGTTTTATAATGTGACTTCCTACAAAAGTCATTAACATCCGTCTGGATGTGTTTATTCTGCTTAATCCAACATTCTATCTGTTTCTCCCCCAATTATGAGTCATTGTCTTTTATTTAAGACAACTGCTAGTAACAAACCAAATACATATACAAACACAAAGTGAGCATCATCAGTCTCTAAACGCCTAGAAGCCGAGTGGAACCTTGTTTCAAACTCTGTGCCTTGTCTTATTCTGGACCGCCGTTGCTGGTGGATCATTAACTCAACACATCTCGGTAAGGCTGTATTGAAGAACCCCGGCCTCTCGACTTTGCATTCCTGTCACAACCGCTACGTGCCGTTCAGGGGGGAAAGATGTGCACGGCCTGATGGTCATAAGGACGGCGTGCTCCTTTTAAAGCCCCAGGTGAAGAAGAAACAGCTCATCTGGCCGTGCCACAGAATTTTAATCAACTCTTTTCATTTTATTAAGCAGCACCAAAAACTCCATTTTCCCTCAAATCTCTTTCGTGAAAACGTTCCTTATTGATGCTATAAGGAGGCGTACGGAAAAGTTTAAAGTCAAGTGGTCTTTGCATCAATAATTCATGGAATCCTACTAAAGAGGTGTTACATTTTAACATTGGCAGCTCCCTGTGAAACTGAGGTTAAGGTGAGAGGACATGGGTATACATAGTAATGGCACTGGTTGACTTTCTTCATGTTCATGGTTAATAAAGCAAATGGTTGAAATTAAGTTTCCATGTCCTGTCGTTCAGTGTGTTCCTTGCAGCTGAATTAAAGATGCAGCGTTCTAATTCATAGTGTTTATGTGTTCAATTTTAATCTTTTTTTAATCTTAAAAAAAATGATTACACAATTGCAAGGATCTAATTTTCTAAACATACCTCTTTTTTTTTTTTAACATCACCGACCTGCGGCAATGATCTGTGAGGCTACAGTGATAGAGATGCAGACGTTGCATTGGCTGCTCTACCCAACAGCTTTACCGGACCAATGCCTTGCTCACAGGCACATGGTGGAAGTTAATGAGAGCATCTCTCTTTGATTGTTGACTGCTCAAATATCGAAGTTGAGGAGGTAATCTGCTGCACAAGACACCAACTGTGAAAAACACACGGTACCCCAAGGACACATGAATCAATTCAGCAGCAGGAAATGCTTACCGAACCAGTACAGAACCACCGAGACCATCCAGAGTGGAGCGACACACTACATGCACTGTTTAGTTTATTTGGAGACATGTACGGATTTCTCTAAGTTTATCCTTCAAAAATGATTCATCCAAAGGGTCAATTGGACATCACGTATATTCTCAGAATTGCACAACAGCTGCACCATTTTCAGCCGGCTGTTGTCCTTTTTATCCCTTTTCTTTAATGATCTCCATGTGCGTGGTCCTGTTTCTTATCCCAACAGCGTCTGCCATAAGTTCAGTGAGCTCCGGCCGTGTATTCATGCTCCATTCAACCTGTACTTACAGCTGCACTGCAATTACAAGGGCAAATTGAAATATTTCATCTCATTCTCAAATGACATGGAATAATAAATCAATAATACATGGAAGCGTTCTGTTATCTGTGCTCAACACACCTTTTGTATCCACCATCATAGTTTCAGCCCCCACACCTACGATGCAGTTAAAACTCTCATTTTAAAATGACTAAAGAGTTTTAATAATATACTTTTTGGTGAGCTATGATATCTGAACGAGAGCCCACTGGAATATTTAGCAGAGTCAGGTTACTAGTTTGTAAAAAATAATAATGTCTAGTCTACTACATGGAAGATGAATGTTACGAGCAGCTCACCTGTGCGGGTTAGTCACCTTAACTTAGTTAGTCTGCGAGGGGGGGGGGGGGGGCTTCTCCTGGTAGATTCTAAATCGCACCTCTTGATTTTTAAATTCCGTCCTCGCAAAACGCTGCAACACGTCAAATGCGTCGGTTTTGGGGTCCAGCTTCCCCACACAGCTGGAGTCGGTGCCGGTTGGCTCGGATGGGGCTCGGATGGGGCTCCGGCTGGCTCCTCCCCTCCCACAGTCAGCAGCACCGAACCCAATTAAACCTCATTGGACAGTGGCGCGCATGCGCCGTCAGTGAAGGTCGGATGGACGTGTTTTCTGTGGACGCGTGTCCCACGGCGCCGGACAGCAGGTTTCATGGTGATCGGAGTGCATGACTCGCTCGGTGTTGGTCGGTCTGACTGTAGAAATGTATCCAATTATCCTAGGACTTCATTTACTGTATATGAGATGCATCAAATATGGTTCATAAAACAGGGTAATATTAGTTTACTAATACAATCAGTGAATGAAATAATTAAATTAACTTTAATTTTATTAGTTTTTTTTGCTCCACCTACTCCAGGCGTATAATCAGCATGTTATATGTTAAAGCATCAGGAACAATATTCCAAAAATATAAAAGCACAACTCTGAAAGCGACCATTGCACCCAACAAGTACTTTTGCTGCCAAAACTTTTGTAAATGTACTTCTACTGGGAGAGTATTATTTTACCTTTTGACTATTATTAAAAGAAAGAAACCACAAAAATTGGGAGCCATGCAAGGGACATGATCAGTTTCATTACCAGTGATTTATTTGTGTGTGATTATTCTGGAGTTGTAATGGTCGTTGTCACGGTCACATTGTTGAACAATGATCATTAGAGAAGGGATGATCAGTGGAGGCAGATGTGGGGATGTTTCCTTACGCAAAGCAGGGTACCTTGAAATACAGTGGACTTTTGACACATTGTCATACAATACCTTTCTTAATTAATAAACACATATGATAAATTAATGGACATTCAAATAGACACTGCAAGGTGGAGCAAGTGAAATGAAGATGCCTTAACATTAACACACAATGATAGCAGTCATCAGGTTACAGACTCATGAACACATTTGTCTTAGGAGTGCCTTTTGCATAAAAAAGTGCATTGAGGTGAAATAACAATTACAGTTATTGGTCATCATGTAATCATAAAGGGCAACAGGAATGTGGTGAACTCCTATTTTGACAGCATGTGTCACAACAAGGGAATACATTCTACTGCAGGTCCTTGAAGAAATTCCAGTTTTTTTAATACAAGTTTCATTCCTGATTTTTAAGAACTAAGAGGAAAGCCTTTACAAAACAATGACAGCGTCTTTCATAGTCTTAGAGGCATAATTGGGCTGTTACAGTAAAACAGACATTTGCAAAACATCTCGAAAATCATACAAGCACCACCGTTCATGTTGTTGGGTCATCATGGATGATGCTGAAGCTGCTGCCGTCGTCATTCAAATATTCAGTTATAAAAAGTGAGACAGATAAAATACTGTTATTTTAACGTCATTGCCACTTAATCACAAATCCCTGACTTAGATCAACGGAATCCAAAAGCAAGAAGAAAAAAAAAAACTCGGACAATCATGAAGCAAATACCAAATGGCTGCACCATCGGCATCGGCCGTCTCTTCAGGTCTCAGTATGTGAGCGGACTCAGGATGAAGAGGCGATCCTCCTCCTTCCGGATCCACTTTAGCAGTTTGTTGACAGCAGAGACGGCCATGGCCTTGGTCCCCAGCGGGCTGAAACACAGGTAGAGCTCGAAGCCGCTCGTCACCTGCAGACCCAAACAGCCAAACTTATAAATGCTGCTTTCTTAAAATAATGGCTAACTTTCCTTTGATCGGCACTAAAGTCCAATTCAAAGTGCCCTATTTTTTCAAAACTCTAAACGACCGTTTTCAGTACGCCAGGCTCACCCATGCCAGCAGGTTTTCAGTTTCTCCACAGCGGTAGAAGGAGCGGAGGGGTCTGGTTGGATGGTGCAGGCTGCCGTGGAGGCGCTGGTACAATCCCATCAGCCGCTCCTGCTCTCCATCAGACTGGTACACTTCAGGGAACTCTGGACTGGAGGCAAAAGAACAAGAGTATCTTGTCTAGAGCAACACTGGACATCTGGCGCAGAGAATTACAGAAGAATACTTCACATGATTTGTGACGTCGCGCCCACCTGGTGTACAGCCCTGAGCTCTTGGATTTGTACAGGAAGTGCCTGAGCTCCGGGATGCCGACCTGAGCCACAGAATAGCTGGGACATTTAAGGGCTTCTTTCAAGGCCGGGTAGGCGCTGCGCTTGCTCAGCCTCTCCAGGAACCGCTGCTTGCAATTGGACATGTTAAAGAAATCCTCTCGGTCGGTCGAGACTAGGATGAGGCAGAGCGGAGACGCAGGCTCCAGGTAAGAGATGTGAGCGTGGAAAAACCCAGCGGTGTTGAACTTCGGCAGACAGATCGGCGTCCAGCCTTCGCCCTCTCGGAAGGACGAGGAGGAGCCCACCAGGTTGAAGACCAGGTGCAAGTCTATGTGGTGCAGGAACTGGTCCTTTTTCCTCACCAGAGTAACCAGGCGGTCGCCCGCCAGCAAGATGGAGAACACCAGGCTCTCGGATTTGGCGGCCTGCAGGCCGGACGACACCACGTCCCTGGCGGAGCTGGCCAGAGGCAGGCAGGTGACGGCGCTGAGCAGCAGCCCGGGGTCTCGGTCCAGCCGATGCAGCAGGTTGTCGGTGAGGTACTCGGAGCCGGACAGCAGGCGGCGCAGGTCAAAGTTTTGCTTGTGCTGGAAGATGTGGTTGAGCTGGGTGAGGGTCAGCAGGCTGACAATCTGGTAGTAGATGTACTGCAGCTCCCGCAGCAGCTCCTTGTCGGTCTGAGAGGTCCGAGACACGCATACCAGGACCAGGGGGGTCTTGCTGAGGAAAACCACTTTACAGCCATCTGATACAGAATGTTAGACACCCATTAAAAACCTAGTTCACAAAATGCACTTATTTTTTGACTCCCGGACCAGAGTACACCCTGACCTGCTTGGATGGAACGAATGATGTTCTTCTCGGCCTCAACAAAAGACACCAGGGCCATCATCACCCCTGTGGTGCTGGACAGGGCCTCCTCAGTGCCATAGCGGCTGTAGATTGGCTTTCCGGCCTCGCTCAGCACAAACACGTGCTTTCTGTGGCTCCTCCACGCCTCGCCGGACACGTCTTCCTCCTTGGTCCTACTCTCCGATGTGATGTCATTGTGCTTCTTCTCCTTCTCCTCCTCTGGGCTTTTCTCTCCCACCAGCACCGTCAGGTCCTCGGCACACTCGCCCGACTGTTCCACTTCGGCCTCCCTCTGATCCTCGTCCTCAGCGGTCAGATCCTCGAAGGACTGCGCGTGGACGAACATGGCACTCTTCTGACCGGCACCTATGTTGTCAAATGTTTGTCAGTATGTTGTGTGGACACATACGCATTAGTGAGCATCTGTAGAACAATGAAGCGCTTTTGGAGGATGCGTTTGTTGTTGTTTGGCATTTGGATGAGGCTGGTTGCCATAGAAAAGCTAAAGGAAGAGGCTGCTCTCTAACGGAGGTCATGGGGTTGACCAGACATACAGTCTTATTGTTTAAGAACACTTCCAAGCAAGAATACATTTCCCCTTCGACCAGTTGTCCACGTCTAAACGTGGCGTCATTTCACAAAAACAATTTATATGAGTGTATCTCAAGAACAGTTTCCGTTGTTACGGTAACAGGTCACAGCTGCTTTCCAAAGCTTTTTTATGGACATCATCCAGGTTCATCTCCCACGCAATGACTGAGACAGTTCGAAAAAGGGGCTAATGGACTTTGGAAAAACTGAGTAATGATGCGCAACTGTATATTATACCATCTCGATTTTATACTTTCAATAACAAAAAATAAAAAACTATCCACACTGATCTTTTTGTATCAGTGTCTCCAGTAAATGCAGCAAAGCCTCAGTAGCAGATGTTTTAATGTGAATATTAGTGCGTACGATCCTTTCAGACCATCCACGGGGAGAGAAATGAGTAAACTTCGGCCCCAGCTATCCACAGCAACAATAGAGAACACAACATATCTGATCCCGAGTTGGCTTGATGTCACTATGCGGACGCGTCATGTTTATCTCATGACCAAATTAGAAGAGTCAATCGGATTTGGCTTTCTTCTAGCTGGTGATGTGACACATCTGTACGGCTGCCAACAAGCTTTCACCACTAAACTTTGAGACATTACATTTAGCTGATGCTTTTATCCACAGCAACTTACATTGTATTTTTAACCCATGGTTTTTACATTTTCCCCGGGGACACTTCGACATGGAGCAGCCGGGGTGGGAACCGCCACCCTTGCTCAGTCAGGGGACCACCGTGTTATCACAGCTCCTTAGAAGGAATCTGGCTGTTCTTACAGCGTCGGTGTGGCATGGTATTCTTAAAGTGGAGCTGCCCTTTAATTCATTACTTATGATGTGGTATTCTTAAAGTGGAGCTGCCCTTTAATTCATTACTTATGATGTGGTATTCTTAAAGTGGAGCTGCCCTTTAATTCATTACTTATGATGTGTATCGCATCGTGTGTCTAATAGCTGCAACTGGAGGCAGTAGGTCACATTCACAGTGACACTAATTGAGCTTTCCAATTCTCCACTGCTGTGGTTTGGATTTCAGGACTTAAGAGGAAAACGTGCTGCACGAGGCTCCACCTCACCGGGTTCCGTTCCCTCCACCAGACCCGGTGTGGGGCTGTCCGCCCTCTCCGCGCGGAGGCGGCCCCCGGGGGCCAGAGTCGACACGGCAGGTCCATCCATCACTGCTACTTAAGGCAGCCACACACACCTGGCAGGACACACACAGCTGTGGGGTCAGAGTTCAACGACAGAGACTGAGATTATCGCATTGACATCGGTAAAGATGTGCTGCTGCAGTGACGTGGCCCCCGGCGCGCGAGTCGTTAAAATGTCAATAAGCCGAGTTTCACTTGTGTCCCTGACGGTACAAGAAATGACGTCAACTGGTGTCATGCAAAAAAATGACTAGGATTTCTCCTTCGTGGTGACTTGAACTCGTAGTGTTCAGTTGCATAGAGACGTTTCGCTGATGGAGAACTACTTTGAGGCTAACTTTAGCCCAGTCCACGGTGTGTGCGGCTAGCTAGCTCTGCTTTCACCACAGTTCGTCTCATGACTCGTTCCGTTGCTTCCCAATCGTTACCTTTCGTTCCCGGAACTGTGTGCATTTGATCGTTGTTGCTCCAACACAACTCTGTGGTCACAGCGCGACCGACGCTCGCGAACGAGAAGCGGCGCGAGCGGGGAAAAGTAACGCGACTTCTTCTTGATGGTCCGAACAGTTCACGGTAGGTTACGGAAGTAGGAATTGTGGGATATGAAGTTATAGTCCAGAGAAACTCCATGCGGTAGTCATATAGTTTGTGGCACCAGTGCACTGGCATTTATGTGTCAAAAAGGATGATATACAAATATTTATAGATTAGTCTAGTACCTGAATGTTGCATTTGGCGTTATGCAGGCGCCGTTATGTAACCTTAGCAGAACGTTTTATTTGATCGTGAGGGTGCATTTAAAGCACGTCGGACACCAGGCGATCTATCATGCTTATTTTCCTCAGTCACAGTGAGTGGCAATGTGTTCTATTTGGATATAGCCGAAAAATTACGTATACGAAAAAGTTATGCTAATTGTATCCATCAGCCCCGTTGTATCTTCTGTTGATATAATATTCAATCAGAAGCTCTGTTCACACGTCATTGATTTCTTGAATTTAAGAAAAGTTCCACAGGGACATGAATGCAGCATAAAGGGGCGCGGCCTACGTTTGAACGTACAGCGCGGAAACAGGAAGACGTCATTGTCCAAAACGAGTTCTGCCCGTTTGATACAACGTTATTCCAGCTCGACTAAAACACGTCTTATTCCTCACATTAGCGATGTGTGATTACGATAAGACTGCGCCTTAACTTCACGCCTTCCTTTTTTGTAAGTATGGCATCTTATGACAAAGCAGCCAACGTTTATCTCCCAAAGCTAGCTAACGTTAGCTGGGCAAGTAACGTGTCAATATTAGCACACAACAGTTAGCATTAACAGTTCTTCTTTAGCCAGGCTATTTTCGCACACACGGATACAGTAATGCTTGGAGCATTGCATATCGATGTTAGTAATGTTGGTTTGGTACTGCGTTCGTAACAGGGTGACCCGCGTGACAACAAGATGCCCATCCGAGCATATTGCACAATATGCTCGGACTTCTTCGATCACTCCAAAGATGTTGCTGCCATCCACTGCGGACACACGTTCCACTATGACTGGTATCCGATAGAGAAAGTCAAATCTTCAGTCATATTTATGGCTGTAGAAATGACTAATAGTTCTTTTTTGTCCATCCCCAGTCTTCTTCAGTGGTTTCAGACGGCTCCTACAAAAACCTGTCCACAATGTAGAAAGCAGGTGCAGTACTTTACTGAAGACTGGACCAATGTGCCAAACCCAAGAAAGACTACTTAAATACTGTTGTCCCCCATGTGTGTAGGTCAGCACCAGACACATTATCAACAAGCTGTACTTTGACATCGGTGAAGAGCAGGAGGGCACAACGGACCCGGAAAGCTTGCAGGTACCAAACAGAAAGCATCATTTGTGTTTGAGTGAGAGTTATTGTTACGGAGAAACTCGTGGAGGAAAAGACTGTGATGATTTTGAACTTGATGTACCTTCTTAACATCGCATCAAAAAGAGATTTGATTTCAAGTGTTACATTTCTTGTGCTCGTTTCTCCCTAACATAGAATGAGCTTGATCGAATGAAGGTGCTTTTAAGCTCCAAAGGTGAGAAACTTCACTATGTTGTGATGCTCGATTTTTGAAAGTAGCAGACAGCCCTGATTCATCGCCCTGTCTGATCAATTTGTAGAACGAGACTGGCGGGACAAGCAGAAGACGGTGGACAATCTAAAGGACGTCGTGGACAAGCAGAGGAGAGACCTGGACAGTGTACGGAAGGATGTTATGGAAAAGGAGATGCTTTGTTCTAGCCTCAGAGTAAGCAGTCTCTCTATTTTATTTTTTTAGCTGATTTTTCTTACTCTGCAAATACTTTCTTGTTTATCTGTTAATTGTTTTTTGATAGAAACAGATGACGTACCTTGAGACGCAACAGAATGAAACTCAAGCTGCCAAGGAGGAAGCCCGGAAACTCCGAACCAGAATGAAAGCCTTTGAGAGGTACGTGCATGCAGACAAATACTGTCCCATTCAGTGTGCTCACACTGTATTGACCACAATAAGGGCCTTTCTGCATGTTTGAAACACATGTTCGTGCTCTTTAATATCACAGTGTATATGATGCATATTGGAAAGAATTATTTGTATTTTGGACAATAAATAGTTGATCGCTTAGAATTCTTAATATTTAGTCTAGTGTGACAATATTCATGATTTATCAAACTTTCTAGTAACAATGTACAATAAAGTCCTTCTCACCATATGCACCTACACTGCTGGATTGTCCCAGCCTGGATGTGTTGTTGCAGGGCCAAAGAGCAGAGGTGGAGTCCATGATCTCAGATATGGGTGTGAGCCAGGCAGCAGTGGAGCAGCTTTCCATCTACTGCATCTCGCTCAAAAAGTAAGGAGCCCAATAGCTGCTGATACAATTCTGGATACTACCTCGTTTTGAGGTTCAGTCCTCATGAACTCAACTTGCCAGTCTGCAGTCCCTAAGCCTTCGACTCCCCATCCCTCTTTTGTTTTGAAGAGAGTATGACAATCTAAAAGGAAGCTTGAAGTCTACAAATGACATGTGTGAGAAGCTGAAGCGAGAAGTGCTCTCCTCAAACAACAAGGTAACGTTGAGTTTGGCTTCCTCCCAGTGTGTTGACTTCCAATCTTAAATGTGTATCTCTCTAAGGTCAGATTTTTTTTCTAAATCCATTTTAGTTACACAAAGCCACGGTGGAGGTGAATCGCACCAGAGATGACATGAAATCTCTGCAGAACGATTTGGCCAACGCGGACAAGGAGATCTCTGTAAGCCAACGCCACCAAACGGGCATTTGTTTTCAGTACCAGAGAAAGTCGTGGTCGTGATTCCGGCATGGCTGTGTGTCCACAGAGCCTTAAGAAGAAAGTGGAGTTTCTTCAGAGGACTCTGAGCACCCCGACACGGACAAACGAAGCCCTAAGCCGGCTCGTCTTTGAGAGGTGTGTAGCACGCAGCCACTGGACTGGAATACTGTCTGTGATTTACTGACGAGGGTTCTGGACTCATCGTTTCAGCCCGGCGCCAGTGGAGCTGAAGCAGCCTCGCCTCCACCAGCCCGCCGATAGCCATGATATTGACCTGAACACGACGTACGACGTCACTACGCCGGACGGTTTGGCCAAAAGACAAACGCAGTTCCAATCCAAGAAGATGCGGCTGGATCCTCCGGCGTGAGTTAAATGTGACCCGATAATGTGCGTTCTGTTTTGGTTGTGGGAGCTGCTGCTGTGCGTGTGTGTGTGCCGTGAGTTTCTGATTTTGTTTGTGTTGTTGTATACTGTAAAATTACGTAGTTGGGTAAATTAATTTGTTTTTCAGGTCGTCTGTGTCCAAACACTTTGAGAAAAGTTCCTCCTTAAGCAAGGTAGCTTTGTGAATGTCACTCCACATTGTTCATTGTCAAGAGAATTGCACATTTCTCAAAGTATTATTTTTTTCTCACCTCAGACTCGAGACGAGGATTGTTCCCTGGATCCTTTTTTGCGGAACTCCCTCCTCTTCAGAAAGAAGACTTTCGGCAGCATGTTGGACCCTCAGAGGAAGCTCGGAGTTGTACGTACAACAGAACTATCTCCTGCACGCCAAGTCCAATGCTTTATGTGATGTTGGTCCCTTTTGAGTTGCTCGATGAACTGTTTCTTGTTTCAGGTGAGCAGTGGTTACGACGGTTTGGGAGGACGTACCAAGTTCATCCAACCCGTATCCTTGGGTTTCCATCATGTGGACTGTATGTGTTTAATATGATTGCTTGGTATTGGTTGCTCATCTTTGCTGGTTAAACCATCTACTAAGTAGCATGTGACCCACCCAGCTCCAAACAGCACACCGACACAATGTCTCGATAGTGAACATAGCGAAGTGTTTCCCTCAGTTGATTCAGCCTTAACAAAGCGCTTCATTCCAGTCTCCATTATCAGAGATTCGCCCGCTGATGAAAGCTAAAAGGAAAAAGGTAACCAGGCCTCAACCCAGGATGGCACCTTGCATGACTCTGGACGGCTTCCTCGAGTGAAGGACGACCTCTCTGGGACGAAGCCTGTTTGTGCGGCTCTGGAGCACAGAACCAGCCAGGCAGCGGTTTCTGCCACCGGCACCAAACAGGACTCTGATCCGGACTTCCTTTCTAAGCAGTGACTGACCTTGTGATGGATGCTGAGCTACTTAACACATACCAGCAAACCTGCATATACATTTTCTTCTTTTCATCTGCTGATTTAAATGTGGCGACTGTCTCGAGCAGCTTTGTGTCACCGCCTTTCCCTGTTGTTACGTTTAGGGTCTCTGTGTGAGACAAACCAACTTATTTATGGACCATTCTTGTGTCAGTGCTTGTTGATATTCAATAATCTGTTTTCTATGCTCTGAAAAATATGTATTTTCACATTTATTTGAAATCCATCACAAACATGTGGATGTTTTTACTCAAGGTATTTTTAGTTTCAATGGTCCTGCCAGATGTAAACCAACTTCGATAATAAACATTTTTTTTTTATTAATGGTTGTGTGGGGTCTACAAACTATTCCCTCTAGACTGTGCTTTCATCCACAAACATTTCACTGAGGTGTGTGGCCCTGCAGAGGGCAGTACACGCTGTGTTTTCATGCAAACATGAATCTCAGGCCTGGACTGTTCCACGAGAGCAGGAAACCCGTCAAGGGAAAGGTCGTTTGAAAAGACATCAGTAAAACCTGAGTTGTGCACAGATCAAGTAACAAAAAGTACACTGCAAAAGGGACTTTAGTGGCTCAAAATTGAAAGCAACCGATGACGGGAAGCTCTTTGACAGGGTTCCAATGCATGAACAAGATTGATTGTATTTTGACAAACAATATGGGGAAATGTTTTTTTTTACGTGGTGTAAAAGTACCACGTAGAGCAGCATCCTGCTCATAATCATTTGTATCCTGTTTGCACTCATGAATTTACAGATGAAAACTGGCGTTTACCTTTATAATTGCATACACAGCACTAATCAAAGTGAAACACTTTAACACAGTGATGCATTAGTGATTGGACATTGTATTACTGCTAGGAGTGATTATAGAAAAGTGATTCATTATACCTCCCCAGGGGGGATTTCTATCAGAAATAATAACGGGATATGGTTCCTTCCAGTGCAACCAGCAGAAATAATCACAACATCCCCATACAAATGATATGTCAATTCAAAACATTCTTCTACACATAAAAACAATCCATGCAGTGCTTGTAGAGCCAGTAGACCACCCTTCATTAACCCCGAGGGGTTCCACATCATTGCACATCTACTCCTGGGGCAAAGGTTGCTGTTAACAACTATCCCAGGGAAAGTTAAAAGTAACACCTCCTTGTGACGTTCACATGTATGTGGTAATGTGAAGGTCCTTCCAGCTCTTGTTTCAGTGTGCTAAAGAGCAGTCCATTTTAAGCCGTCTCAGTTTGGCCTTTGACACGAGAATAAAACCCCCTCACTGGGATCTGTCCGGAACGATCTTGGACTCCCCGTTGGTTTTATCGTTGGACTTCTGGGACAGGTGCGTGGACACGGTAGCCGCCTGCACCACAGCTTTGAAGCTGCGCTTCCTCTTCTGGACGTTCTGCTCCGGGTGGCAGATGATGACGTAGGCCTTGGGGATGTAGAGCATGCCCAGGGACACGGTGGCGCTCAGGCTCATGGACACCGTCAGGGTGGTGGTCTGGATGAACATCTGCAGCAGAGACCAGGCAGGTTAAGATCATCTATACACACACACACACACACAATGTGTTTCTTCGGATCTCTCAATCATTCAGCATCTGCCTAGCGGTGCTTGACAGTTGATCATATAATCTTGCACAGGTTGGAGAAAAAGCACCATGTCAACTCAAAGGTTGTCACAATGCAGTTTTTATAATGTTCATCTCAAAGCTCAGCACGCAACGTCTTTTCCCTGATAAATGATTCATGACCTGGGATATGTAGCCAGGAAAGGAGGCTCTGCTTACGGGCTTTCTTTGGACATGCCGTCTCCTCACTCCTCCTTCCTGTTATTTCAAATCCAACAGTAATAACGAGAAGTAACTTTTCCCTGGATTATCCCACGATAAATTATGAACTTATAATTCTAACAAACTGTACAAGTCATAAATTAATCAAGACACATGTGCCATAAATAAGATATATCTGTGCCATGAATAAGTCAGAAATTGTACGCTATCTTCAGCAGCAGCAGAACATCCGGGTTTTCTCGCAGGCTGATCTCCAAACAGTATGGCTTCTTTTATCATCTTGGTCGGTTTCTTTCTGTGACCTCTGCGTTTCGTAAAAGGAGCTGTTTCTGATTGGGAACATGTGGCGAGCTCGAGGCGAGAAGGTTGTAGAGACATTAAGCATGTAAATCACCTCCTGCCACACAAGGTTCTACACATAATGGGAGGATGACAGACACTATTTTCATGAGACAGACAAAATTTAGCTTCTATAGTTAGTTATTCTTCTAAGTGATGATTAATTGAACTGGCTGATTCAAATGGTCCCTCAGCTCATCTGACCTCCTTTCCTTCCCTCACTCCCTTTTCTTAATACACTTCATTTCCATTCGGAGGTGAAAAGACTGAAAGCACCTCGGGCCATAATTCTTTCAGCCTGACTGGTTCATAATACTGCTCTCTATTAGTCAAAGTGTATCCGTGTTTTTCAAATATTCCCCCCCAACAGCCTCTTACTTTGTGAAGTAGCCCACAAGCTAAATAAAACACTCAGTACAGTGGAGGCAGGATGTCCTGTGAGTACAGCAGTACTGAGCCAATGTAATATTCACATCTCACTTGAATCTGAGGAATTCATTTAACTGAAGTTATCAGTGCGTGTTATATTGTATTGAATGATTTTTTCAAATTTTGTTTTAAATTACTACCAATAGTAAGAAAGATCCAAAGCAAAGAGCCACAGGGCAGAGGGATTACGAGCTTCTACATGAATAAATGAATGACCAAAGGAATTTACTAATCTTAATTTGATAATTAACTAATTCATGATGAATAGATTAAACTTGACACAAGGATATATTAACCAATCAATTAATGGAATGAAGACAATAGTTATGTCATTAGTAATTGTACATAAGGAAAAATGAATGTTGATCAATTCCTATAATATTTAAAGTTATTTAGGCAGAAACGTGGTAATATTTCCAAAATATCGAGCTGACGCCAGCAAAATATTTCCTGGGTGCGATTCCTTTAAGGAAATAAATTCAAAACATTTTCTGCCATTTCATATTTAAAGGATTATTATAGGGCATTCAAACCAATAATATAGAAGCAAAGAATGACTAGCAGTTTTATTGGAGTCTACCTGAGCAGAAAATTAAGTCAAAGATTTCACTCTGCATTTATACATAATGTTGCGGTCTTCTGTAGATGTTGGACGTTAGATAACCCTAACCCTAACCCTAACCCTATCACTTCGTATTCATTCAATCAAACATTGAACCAGTAGTTGCTGCAGACACACTTGGTCGAGATTTCCCCTCTATAGTTTGCGTACGGTATATTTAGGTCAAAGGAATGTAATCACACAGTAGAAATTCTCCATTACAAGCCAAATTCAAGCATTCACAGTTTTACTGAAGTATGTCAATGCAGGAAATTAAATTTGTATCCAACATCAGTAGTGTGAGTATTTTTTTAACATATCATACATATTATATATATTGTACTACTTTGTAAGCGGCTGCGTAGTTCAGCCTGTAAATATATCTAATAGTTGATCATTTGGTGTATCCAAAACTTTGAACTTCAAGCCAGCTGGTAATGTTTCTCTTAAGTGTAGTTGGGTATAAAGCAACATAAAAGTACTCAAGTAAAGTCCAAGTTCCTCCAATCCCAGGACAAGTGAAATATAAACATGTCAAATTGCCCACCTTCTCCGTAGATTGAGCTGTGCCAAAGAAGATGGGAACAAAGGCCAGCCACACAATGCACGTGGTGTACATGGTGAAGCCGATGGGTTTGGCCTCGTTGAAGGTCTCGGGAACGCCTCTGCTCTTGATGGCGTACACGGTGCAGGTGATCATCAGTACAATAGCGTAGCTCAAACACAAGATGAGGGACAGGTCGGACATGTCACACTTGAGAACTCCGCGGGCGAACTCTGGGTTGGGAGGCTTCTGCTCCTCATAGTCGATGATGGTGTGGGGGGGCATCACACCAAACCAGATGAACACACCGAGTAACTGCGGAGAAAGGAGCGTGAGTCAGACTGCTGGAAAGAACTAAAGGGGATGTGTGGGGGAGAAGCCTCCCACCGCCTACCTGCACCGAGATGAGTATAAAGGTGATAATCAGCTGGGAGGTTGGACTGATGAATTTGGGGGGCGTGACCGACTTCTTGCCCTGTTCGAAGATGCGGTAGATCCGGTTGGTCTTGGTGAGCATGGCGGAGTAGCTGATGCACATCCCGAGCCCCAGCAGCAGCCTGCGGAAGGCGCACACGGCCGTGCTGGGCTCGGCTATCATGAGGAAGGTGATGAGGTAGATGAGGAAGATGCCTGTCAGCAGCACGTAGCTGAGCTCTCTGCCAGAGGCCCGAACGATGGGCGTGTCGTTGAAGCGGATGAAGGTGACGATGACCCCGGTGGTGGCCAGGATGCCCAGGATGGCCAGGAAGACGGGGATGATGGCCCAGGGGGAGCTCCACTCCAGCTTGATGATGGGCGTCGGCCGGCAGCCCGTGCGGTTCTTCAAGGGCCTCATGTCGAAGGGACACATGTCACAGGTGAACTCATCCAGCAGGTACTGGTAGCCATCGCAGAGCTCGCAGTGCCAGCAGCAGGGAACTCCCTTTACCATCTTCTTCCTCTCTCCAGACTCGCAAGGGAAACTGCACACCGAGTCAGGGATCCTACGGTGTCCTCCTGACCATTGCATCTCGTCCGCCTAGGGTGGATGTACAAACACAAGAATGCTGTCTGTCTTTAACAGACACATGGTAGGAAAATGCTTCAATTAAACTGGACAAACACTGGTCTAATTAAACGCGTATTTAGCCAAGAATTAGTTGTCCTCAACTAATTTGAGAAATCAATCGTCATATATCCCACGAAATGATTATTTACATTGAGGCGAAGGTGGTTCGTCCACTGTCCGATGACCTTGTAGCCGGGGCTGCTGACGTTAGACAGTTGGTACTGGAAGATGTCGTAACGACCAGGAGCGTCTCCATTCTCATTGAACATCACCCCAGTTCCTGCGCTGCCTATTCGACGGAGACAGAGTTTGAAGATCGAAAAAAAAGTGAGTGAGTCAAAGGCGTTGAGGACTTACAGCTTTCTAAGCTAGAAACATCACCTCTATCTTTGGTGGCCGAGTAAAAACAGCCACACGCTGTAGAATGCAGCTTATGTCTGATTTCTTCGGTCATGTGCACTCAAGTGAAGGCTGAGTGCTCTTTAGTGAAGGCTCTGCTCGGCGAGTTCAGTCTTTCGGTGCACTCTAACGTGTTTGAATGTTCCCCTGAGGTCCCTGTAGGCGCTCAATCAGAAAGTCTTCCATACACGCTGAGGTCTTCCAGCAGGAGGAGACCAGTAAATGTGATGCTCTCATGGAATACTTTTCTTTATCCAAACTGTGACTTCCCTTTTTAATGAAAGATCCAGGATGAAAAGGAGGGAACACTGTGTGAAGGGAAGAGCGGGGAGGCCGCCCTAGGGAGAGTGGGAGCTAGGTACATTAGTAGAAACATCTTAAGTCTTCTGACTTCAAGCTGACCTCCATTTTGCTCTTTTTTAAAAATGTGTTCCTTTTCAAACATGCAGTGACAAAGAACAGCCGTTGCGAAAGCAATCTTTCCACGAGCAAAAATCTAAAATCTCACTTTCTTGTCCATTTAAAAAACGATATTTTCTAAATCATCACACATGGCATCAGACAGGAGGCAAAAACAGAGACTGGTGATCGAAAGCTCACCATTGAAGCTGACCGCACGAATGTACTGCAGCAGCATCTGTCCTTCCACAGGGTCCATTTTCTCGCAGACACCCATGTAGCCAGGGCACAGGTCCAGGTGCATGCTGTGTAATGCGTGGGCCATGGCGTACACCGCATCGATCACAAACTGCACCTTGCCCTCTTGTTCATACTGAGAGTGGTGACCGATTCTCTCCTCGCCTGATGGATAACAGAAGTGCCAAAAGGGGATGAATGCATCGCAAAATAATTAAAAGACAAAGCTCCTCAGAAGCACAGAGCTATGATATTTCATTATCAACGACTTGCCTCCATTTTCAAACTGCAGCCTGTTTACCTGTACATTTTCTTCTACCAAGTTCATACTTTATGCCCGGGCGTGTCAGTTTGCACTTGAAGTCGTCTTCCCAGAATTCCGCAAACCAGATGTTTCTTCTGTTGTTTTCCAGAGATCTTGAAGTGAAGTACTGGTCAAACCCTGAATCATTTTTTAAAACAGACCTGGTTTAATGTTTCATAAAAATGTCATTGATCAGTTAACCAATAATAACATGGTGCTAAAATCAGCAAAGAAAATCTAATCTTTTTCATAGTGAAATATGGCTTTGACTCAATTTACAATTTTTTGTGCCAGGGTGGAAATATCACTCGCCAACTTATCAAACGTCATTTCATCACATAATTTCCTTTATTTGTCGCGTTGTTATTAGAATCATCAATCAATGTCAAATGTCGCAATACATATTGCATCCACTTGGCGTAGTTTATGCTTCTGCGTTTTCAGAGAGACGCCTTGCGTGTCTCATGCGTGTTCCTTGCGTGTCTTTTCACACCTCCTTGCGTGCGTCAAACAATTTTTCTAGACTAGCGTCTAAAGCGACGCAGCGTCCTGCAGCACCAGGCTGTGATTGGTCTGCTGACTACGTCCATTACGGAGTCTCACGTCTCCGTTTTCACAGCACGATACGGCCGTTATTAAAAGGAAGAACGTTTACGAGAGAACGGATCAGATTGAAGAGCTTTTAAATATGGGCGCTTGTACAAGCCGTCATTGGCGGACTATGAGGACGCCGGATGGCCTCTGATTCATGGAGGGAGATCTCCACAAACGAGGGGAACAAAGTCGTGGAGGAAAATACGGGACAAATGTGTCCTTGATGGAAAGCAGCAGTGTGGATGCACGGGGCAATAAAGTCTATGATCAATAAATAAAGCAACCACACACAAAGACGTGACTCTCCAGGTCGTCTTCAACAAAACACGTTACTCCGCCTGTTGTTCTGGGTTAGGGTTAGGGTTCTGGAGGTTCTGGAACCCGCAAGACTTTACAACCAGGAAGTGAAATGAGGGCGTCGACACGTAAAGACGCACAAACACGCGGCGGCCTTAAGATTTCATATTTTGATCTGATCATTTTCGCCCAACCGTCAATAGAGGCTCTTTTGGGCAGAATGGTGACAGCACCCTCAGCCACATCCTCCTGGTCCTGGATGGGGGAGCTTTTGGCACCCCAACTGTCGGAGCCGACAAACAGGAAGTGTCCTGTCAGATTGGCCTTTTTGGCAGACTGCAACACCCGTCTGAAAGAGAACCAATTACCGTCATCACACCCTTTCCATTTCACTCCTCTGTGTTGGCATTCAACTTAAAACACTATCATTTGACTGATTTTCTTTTTCAAAAAAACGTGTAGAAAAACTTGACCGACTTGATGTCGTCCTCGTTGGCAAAGATGATGACCCCCCGAGCATTGGAGGTCTCCATCAGTCTCTTGATGATCTTCTCGAACTCGTTTGGTCTGGGCTCTCTTGGAATTTTTATGGACTGGGCAATACACAGCCCACCTGTGTCAGAGATATTGGAAATGTGTTGTTATTGCTGTAGATTCCTATTTCTCCCCTCACTGCCCAGTGAATTAGTTAGTTAGTTATTCAGCATTCAGTCCGGAGGGAAATGGTGGACCAACCGTCAGCATGCTGCTATAGAACTGTCCAGCAATGTCAATTGTTAATGCTCAGTATGTGAATGAAGCCATAATGGTATGAAATCTCCACCCGAGTAAAAACCATTTGAGCTTTAAAACGATGAGACGGTGACTGTTTGACCCGGTAGTTTGTGGGTTTTAAAGGATTTTGTTTCTCCTATTTTAGTCTTTTAATGAGAGAGAGCAACACGGCTTGATACATGAGTAATCTCTTATTGTCAAAGCAGTGAATTCACAACAACAAAGCCAGCTACCCAACCTGCTTCTCTGGATATCTGGAGGAAGGCATCGACGCCGCTCTCTCCGTAGTTGCCCTCGGAGGCCAGCGTGGAGACGTAGTTCCAGCCCATGGCTTTGACTATGTCCACCATTGCCTGGGCCTGGTAGGAGTCAGGCGGCACCACGCGGGAGAAGAACTCGTAGCGGCTCTTGTCGCTTAGCTCCGGGGCAGTGGAGGCATAGCTGATCTGGGGGATCTGAGACAGGAGGATGTGTCAGCAATGACGGACGGGTCAAGGGGAAAACACGGGCAGTGAAATGAGGCCAATATGTGGTAGAAAAGATAGAAAACAATGACTCAAAGAATCAGTGAAGCATATCAGGGGATGATGCACCAGTTACTCACAGATAAAACCTTAACAGTGTCTGAATGGAAGCCTTCCACATTGATACTAACAAGTTGTAGAGCATTGAAATCTCCAAAGGACTATGGCAGAGAACGATCATCTCTTGAACAGCATGTTCTCAGTAGTTCTCAGAACGGAGATAACTTCACAGGGCAATCTGTCCAGAGTTTGTCTGTGCCGACGATATGAACAAGGTCACAGTGAAATACAGATGGGCGCAACCACATCTGTGAAAGCATTTGTTTGAAAGAAAAAAAAGGATGAGAAGATTAATTTACTGGTGTTCTACTTCTTTAACGACATGGTTTATGTCGTTGGGTTTATCTCAACCGTGACCCTGCTAATGCCGGTGCCCTGTCGGGGTTTAACGCAGGGGACGAGGAGAGAAAGGTAGACACAAGGGGTAGTGAAGGAGAGCGGACCGAGAGAACCATTTCACAGATTATGTGGAAGGATTATAGGGGTTTTAGTCAAATTACGTTAAGCACAGAGGCAGAGACAGAGATCAGGAGACTAGAAAAGGCAAGCATTTCTCAGCTGTAAGCCATACAATATATTTCATTCCAACGTTCCACTTTGCTGCAGTGCGTTAACACTGTCAAACTCAATTTAGTTGTTAAGCACGTTTTTAAAGACCACATTCTCAAGCAAAAGAAAGATGCTGTTTGACAAGTTCTTCAAGTTGCATGTTTGCAGAGCGTAAAGTCTCAGTTTCAGCGAGGGGATTCATTTGTTTGCATACAAATTTGTAATGAACAAGAACTAATCCTCTTCAAACTAATCCCAGAAAAGCATCTGCACCAATTCACTTTCCAAAATCAATGTGGGGCAGTAACACTTCCTCTTACGATCCCGTACGGCTGAAATCTTCTCGACATCAGTAGATGTTTGAAGTGGTCCAAAATGACCCAGGATCCCAGCCAAGGGAATATGATTGTGGTTTATCCCCGACCTAATGGTCTGAATCGACTTTAACACATGTTAAAAACAGATAAAGATAAATATGTTAGGCAGGATTTAATTTTGTTATGTGAGTTAAAGAATGATCAATGGTTTATTCCAAATGTAAAACGTGCGCTTCAAGGTTCAAGTTCAAACATGTGGATGAAATAGTTTCCTTTAGTAGCAATATCAATTTTTAGAGTTCTGAAACCATTGAGGTTTCAGGTTATGATTAAATATGAAATGATAATAAATAAAATGCAATCATTATGAATAGAATATATTTAATTATGCAAATGCATAGCTAGATTTTTAATGAATCGTTTCCTCAATGAAATATCGAAAATGGTAAACAATCTCCACTGCCATAACCAAATTGACTTGTTATAAACAAGTCAATTAGCTCATTTTAGGCGATCATCTAGGCAAAAAGCAATTTATTTAAATTAAATTTAAAGTTATTTTTTAATCCTGCAATATAGTCAGTTAATAATCGCTTGGTCAATGTTACTTAAGGAACTTATGTAGGTAATTTATTAAAACTTTAGTTCAGAAACAAGTTCATATACTCTTGGATGAACTGTACATTCTATTATTTAACAAGCTGAAGTGCTAAATAAACACAAATTGATATAATGACATTATATATATATATATATGCACAACAACTACAGTTTTCATTTACTGAAAAACAAAATATAAAGGGTTACGATAAAACAGCATGTGTGGTAGACGCTGCAACATCTGCATCTTAGCCAGAGCAGATGTTCCCTGTATGGAAGTATGAGAGCAGCTCAAATGGACAGTGGGAGGAAACATACCATTTAACTAAATCTACTCCACGCCGCCCGGGCCGCTGTCATCCCGCTGCCCTGAAGCTCTACTTTCATCCCGGGGTCCTGAGCTGCTGAGAGGGGCTTAGCAGAGGGTGGGATCTATAATTCTGTAGTTAACATCTGCCCTTCATGAAAGCTGCCCCTCTTTGCCTCTCAAATCAACATCCTCACCATGAAGAAAGCCCCAAAAAGTCAAACTTTTTTTTTCTTGTAACAAAAGAAATTTGGCCAATTTAAATCCAGACTTGTGCTTATTTTTAGACACTTCTAGATATCTGCCAGACTATGTTACTAAGTCGATGAGAACACGACATAATGTGGGATTTACACAGCATCACCATGAGCAGTGTAATCAATCATAGGAAGTCAATCATCTGTAAAATGAGAAAATAAAAAAATACAGTGAACACATAACAGGGATGAGCCTGCGGAGGCAACACACAACAATGGATTCAAAATCCGGTGACGTGGACGGAGGATCATTCAAACGAGCATTTCAAATGACTTGTTTCTAAATAATATCGGGTATTATATGTGCTGAATAATTGTCTATACAGCAGAAATACGGGGATGTATATAATAATAATACTATAATCAATCAATCAAAATATCAAATTAGAAGATGTGATTTCATTTGAGGAGGACTCTTATTTAGGTTTGTCAAACTGCAATTAAAAGTTACTGTGTTCATGCTGCAGAATATGATCTAAATGTAATGATGGACCCATTAATCATCTAAGAGTGGATGAAACGCTTAAATGAGTACGGCCGTAACAGTACAAGCATGTACATTTATTAAATTAGAATAATCAGCTAATTTGAGGCATAATTCCACATCAAAAGCGGACACATGGAAATGTGGCCTTCCCAGTCACTAATGTTACTAAAAGAGTGAAGAAAGAAATCAGCGTGTTTATTTTTTAGCACAGTTAACGGCAACTAACATTTTGGGTTTGTGGGCCCTGAAAGTGATACAACGCTCCTTGTGACCCCTCATCACTTATTTCTGTAGAATGACTTTTGTTTTCTCCGTCCTGAATAGATGGAAAGGAGAAGTCACAAGGGGAAATCGGCTTTCACTCGGATTGAACAAATCTGCTCACCTAACGAAAAGAGTTTAGAAGAATAATAAAAAGGAATCTTCCCTTTCAGAGAGAGACGCAACAACTCACCGAAAACAATCGGAGCACATTGGCCACCATGATGGACACAGAGCTGCCGGACGCCCCAATCACGCCGACCACGCGTTCTGGTTTGGGGATGATGGGAGGCTCTCCGTTTGAGCAGCGCACATCCGACGTGTCCTTCTGGATGAGGGCCTGGACAAAGAGGAGCGACTGCTCCAGAGCGTAGGTGTCCCTGGAGCAGGTGTCCAGGATCCGGGCCCCCAGAGTGATGTTAGGCAGCAGGTCCGGGTCGCTGTTGATCTGGTCCATGGCGTACAGCATGGCCTCCAATCGATGGATCCCCTTTTCTCTCTTGATCTCCCCGCAGGGCACGCCAGCAGCGCCCCGAGAATGCATGGGGAACAGCCCGCCCAAGGTGATGTCCCCCTCGATTTTGATGGACTGCGGCTGGGAGCCCTGCTGGGCCCATGAGCCCGGGCCGGTACTCACCAGCAGCGCCCACGTCAGCCGAAGCCATGTTTGGCGTCTGAAGGCCAAAGTGAGCGAGCAGCACCGATGGGATGAGTGGACCTCTGATGTCATGATGAGGACCAGCAGAGGTACTGACAGCACGAGGCCACTCCCTCTACCTGTAACACCTGAGGGAGGATAGAGAGCTCCGATTACTGTCCCATCAAGATGACTCAGAGTCTCAGGCTTCTTCTGTCAAGTGCTGTTGAATACTTGAGTCAGTCTCAAAAATGTTTTTGGTCAGACGCTACTGTGGATCTCATTACAACCTGCATTTCTTCAGTTTTTTTTAACCTGTCATCTTTTTGGAGACTTAAAATCTTGAATCCATTTTTTTACATTGAACGTGAATGTTTGGTAAAAAAAAAACAATTAGAATAAAAAAAGGTTGGAATAGAAACAACAATAATTTTTGAATGAATTTTTAAAAGAATCTGCTGCAACCTGTTTTGTTGCATTCAATCCAAGCTGGACAAAAAAAATCTGTATACGAGGACAAGACTGCACGCAGGATGACAGAGTGAATAGCTTTTATCAGACAGCTAGTGATGGAAAACACTATAAATTTTGCAAAACAGAAAACATCAACCGGTCTGTCGCAGCATTTCATGCTCCAAAAGTTAGACAGGTTGATTTTATCTGCATGTTGCTCAGTGACACAACCCACATTAAACATTAGGGTGAAGAGTGTACAGATGTTTTTATGTTGCATGTAAGAATTCAAGCGATGGAAAAAATTGATTGCTGGAAAACCTAATTAAGTGATAAATCCATGTTTTTAATACAAATAAAACCATAATTATATCAGTTTCAAATTGCAATACATAGCAATATTGCAGTAGATATATACGTTTAAAAACTCATGTTTGAGACCTAAGATCTTTCTATTTTTCTGGACGGCACTTTTAAGTCAGATGGGTGGAAATGTGAAGATTCTGAAAATAACGGCATTATTTAAATCTGCATAAATCCCACAATGGTCGAGGAAAATGTTTTCCTTTTACCTCCCACTGCAGGCAACCTGTAACAAGATACATTTCTCCATGTAAAGGCACTTCTTACCTGCCCATTCTTCATTGACCAGCCTGGATTTTATCCATCACATGAGTGCTTCCAAACAGGCCTCCATCCACGTTCCACAATGGGATTAAATTTGTAGAGGCAAGGCTCTTCTCTCCTCACCAAAAGGTAAATCCTCTGTCATCTCAGACCGCCGCCGCGCACTCTCCGAAATAAGCACGACAAACTATAAACGCTGGTCGAAAAAAAGTAGTTGTTATTCATAAAATGAAAACACTGACTTTCAGGCTTCAGGGTGCCATATGATTGAGAGTTAGAGAAAAGCGAGGAAAGACATTACAGCAGTGAGATTCTACAAATCACTGCCAAATCCCTTAAAAGCTCTCTCTCCCATTCTTTTCCCTCCGTGTGCATCTCTATGCAGGCTCTCTCTCTCTCTCTCTCTCTCTCTCTCTCTCTCTCTGATGAACTCTCTCCTTGCTCGTTCCCTCAGTGCACTAATGGCCACAGATTGGGATTATCATGCAGGCGTCTGTGAAGACTGCGTGGACCAGCCCACTTTTTATTCATTTTAGTTTTTTCATGCAGCCGAACCAAAGGCAGATCCCCCACCCTTCCCCGCCCCACAGTGAGATGGAAGTCACTTTGAGAGATTAGATTCATACCCACCCACACACACGCCAACATGCCTCTCACACACTCGCTCTCCTCAAAAACCTGTCAACACTGGCAAAATGGTGAAGAATATCAGCGCAGAAAATGGTATTTGCAGCTGGATGAGATTCATTATTGATTTGAGTTGAAGCTCTGGGAAAAGCAGCCCCCAGGATCAGTTTGCAGCTCATCTTCTGTCGATGTGATGCTTGAACATTGTAGCGCTACTGCCTCCTGCTGCACCGATAGCGCATCAAGTATTGAGAATTTAAAAAAACATAAAAAAACACAGAAGACAATGTACAATTCTTCACCGTACTTTTAATTTCAAGTTTGTAAACTATGACTGGTTAGAAAAACCCAATTAAGACGATAGAGGGCAGAGGTCTGCTGGTAACTGTGTAAAACATCTCACGACTTGTGAAAAAGCTACCCTAAGAAGACAGACTTCTCCAACCCGTCCTCCACTTTGGTGTACTCCAGGTGAGATTTGAAGTACTGGCTCTCGTATCGCGGGCTGTTTCGGACATATTCCAGGTAGTCAGGAGTTCCGGGGCAGATGACGTTGTCCGCCAGCAGGATACTGCCTTTCCTGAGGAGGCCGCACTCCTGGTGAACAGAAGACCATCAGACCATCATAATGAAGGTATGAATATAAATAATAATGAGCATAACACACTTGCCTCCATGAGTTTAGTGTCGGGAAGGTAACGGTCCTTCCAGTGATCCAGGAAAACCAGATCAAATGTTTTGACCCCAAACTGCTCCTTCATTCTAGGGATCCAGTCACCAGATGCGCCTTCAACTAACTGCACCTAGAGAGAAGACACACTTTGTCTTCTGACCTGCACACACTAGGAGAACGATTGGTTTTCCGTTTGGGTCGAGGCGCCTGGCTTTACCTTGTCCTCCACTCCTGCCCACGCAATGACTTGACGGGCAATTACAGCAAACTCAGGGTTGAATTCAAGAGTGATGAGCTTGGCGTGAGGTGGAAGGCGGCTGGCGATCCGCACCGTGGAGTAGCCACAGTAGGTTCCCAGCTCCAGCACTGTGGCTGGGCTCACCTCTGACACCACTGAGTCTAGAATGCAGCCTGTGGCAATAGAGGTAGAGAAGGTGCGAACGCACACAGACGGGTCACACGGGAGACGGATTCTATGTGAAACAAATGTAGGGTACTGAGAAATCAGTACCTTTCTCATCCCCCACATTCATGGCCCACTCCTTGTTTCTGCAGAAGTGATCGATGGCCTGGATCACGCTGCGAGGGTGTCCTCTAGTGGCGTTCTTCTGCACTGCACCCAGGAGCCGCTGGGGGGATGAAAAGGAAAAGCTTTACAGTGAGGCTTTTTTTAACATCACGGTCTTTTAATTGTCGCTAACAACAAGCCATTAATCATTCACCCATTATAGATTTTAAATGATCATAAAGCATAAATAGAATGTCTATTGTTGGTAGACTCATTAATTAGCACAAAGGAGCTCTGCAGGAAACAAAGAAGGGTGGATTCACACATTTTACACAAGCCTTCATGCCTGTTATGTGAAGGGTCGTGTGTCCCCTGCTGGGTCTGATGTAACTATATGAAAGACCTTAGAGTCATGTAGTTAATAAAAATGTTTATTTATTTCCCTTTTATATAAAGTATAGGGTCAGAATATTGACATACATGGAATTTGCTTTGGTGTACGCAATAAGTTCACTATATGAAAGTATCAATAGAATACCTGAGCATACAGAGGTATTAGATGGAGGTATAGTATTTATAATATACTGTAGGCAAAGTATATCATAAATGCCATTTGGAACTTTGCACTTGCATGGTCTTTTTTTCCCAACCCTCTTGGCAAAATCTAATTTTAAATCCATGTATATTGGTGTTGTTCACAGATAACGTCTGGTTTACGTTTACCATTAAAACCAAGTTTAATCAGTGTTAGAGCATGTATACACATGCTTAGTGAATGACTGTACCATTTCATGTAGGATTTTCTGTCTGCCTCAATCTCCGACAGAAAAGCATCCAAATACCTCGGTCTTCCACACCTGCAGCACTGTGTCAAACTAATCTGGTTCTTGTTGCCCTAAGAGGTGAACAATGTGTTATGGACAGCCTGATCTCCAAAACCTCTTCGTCAAAATGTATACGAAAAACATACAAATTCGTAGTGATACATACGAAATAAATACGGACTGCAACTGATGACGTCACCCTATAAGTGAACGGGGACCTGCGCCCCGTAAACACACTTTGTGAAGTCTGACCATGTCAAATAAACGTGTTATGATTGCATTTTTAACGAGAAATCAATGTTAAATTGTAAGAATAGAATAACCCTAACCCCCTCAAAAAATCCAACATGGCGGAGAGACGTTCACTCAAGAATCCAACATGGTCCGCCATGTTGTTCACTCAAGGGGCGTGGTTAACCACCGCCAGTTCCTATGTATTGATACGAATTCGTATGTTCAAGATTTTCGTATCCATTTTTACGAACAGGTTTTGGAGATCACGTTGGTCATGGAAGGCCCACCTGAGGACGTGTGGACTGGGTCAATGTGTCCAGCATCCTCTCCACAATGACATCGTGCCAGAGCAGCGCCAGGCCAGCGTGATACTGCACAGTGGTGGGGATCACCCATCGGTACAGAGCATAGAGAAGAGCTGCTCCACCGCAGCAGCTGTAAAGAAGAGTCAGCCACATCCTGCAACCAGGACAGAGAGCGCAGACACATCAGTGCAGCCTATATATAAATATATACACACACACACACATATAGAATATAATATACATGGCAATAATCCATGTGCATGAGATGAATGAGTGCTCTCAGTCTGCTTTGCACAGGGTTAATGAGATGGGTGTTCACTATGCAGGGTACAATGCTGTTTTCATTATCTCTGCTGCTGCGTCCAAGCTGCACCCACTGACATCTCAATGTGCTGAGCTCATTGAATATCAACCGCGATACACACGTTGTGGACGCACAGCTTTTCCCACCCACGGAACCGATTCGCGGGTTCGGATATCGCGAGCGCACGTGGATGGGGAAGAACAGAGCGGGGGGGGCGGGGCTGGACGCACGTTGCCCTAATAAGGCGACTGTGGAGAAACAAGCGGCGGTTGAGGTAATTCCTTTTGAGTCGGAGTATGAGTTGCATGGCAACAGGCTGTGGAGCAAGAGGGAACGCCGGGACTTTAACCTTTGGTTTGCCCCCCTCCTCCCTTCGGTTGGAGAGTCACTCTCTTGCACGATACCTGGGTGCATGTTGTGCATTCCATCTAACAAATTAATTATCTATGCAAATCACTTCATACAAAGTTTTCAAATGAGACAGCAGGAAGGGCATCGGGATTGTTAGGTGCATCCAAATAATATTCATTATTGGTTGTAATAGCATGACTGAGGAAGGTCACATGTGCAACCTCCTGCAGCGGCGAACACTCTCCGGTTCAGTGCGGGACTTAAAGCGGGCCGTGCCGTGCCGTGCCCCCCGCCCACACGGGAACGAGCATCCTTAAAGGGTCTCTCAATGAAATGGGACAGAAATGAGACTCACGTGTGCGGGCAGGCTGTCCTCTTCACGCCTCCTCTCGGTGCTGCACGGAAAATATGGGAGTTTACCAGCAGGCGAACATATGCGTATACTGACTCCTCCCCCTTTCCCTCCGTCCAGCAGTGCGTATACTGACTCCTCCCCCTTTCCCTCCAAATCCCCGACGCGTGCCTGCACACACGCGCATACAGAGACGCGCGCGCGCTCACATGCACACGCTCTTGTATTGCAAGGAACAAACGAGGGTTATTCACGCATTCACACTTGGCATTTAATCATTTCCTCTGGTTGACTTTGGGTGTTTTTTGCAACCAAAACTATCTGTTATACATGGAAGTCCATTTACACCACTTAAAAAAGTGATACAAATATTTCTAGTCAAATAATCAAAAGTCTGAAATAGCCTCATATTATGCAGATGCAGATGAGTTATAATTGAGACACTAATAGCCAAATAGGTACAATAATTATGAGATCATAACTGTGAGATAGTAAAAAATACTTCTGAGATGCTATTTATAATTATGAGATTATTTTGAGAAAGTTTGTCATTTTTATTATTTACGTGAATATGTTTCCTTTCAACGAATACTTCCAAACCGTATACATGTCATTTAAAATTCCATCACATAAGATCAGGTTGCTGCCACATCCTGCAGGTTTTTCTTTATTATGTTACAACGTGTACGTCATTTGGTTTAGGTAAGCCACGGTACCACGTCCAGTTGAGTCCTGTCAAAGTAAATCCATCGCATCCCCCCTAAATGCTCAGTACTAATTCTTCAAGACGAGTTCTCGATTTAGCTGTCCGGCAAATAAGGGATGGAGAACAAAAAGCAATCATATGTCAATTTATTGCCAGTAATTACCAGGAAGACAAAACGTCTCTTTGGTCATTGCAAAGCCTGAATTGGATGTAACTGCCATAAAATACTGAAACACAAATATCTATTATCTCATGATACCAGCACTGTGTCCCACAGCGGTCGGATATCCCCTCTCTTCCCCGATCAGGGAGCTATAGCCCACTGGGCTCTGGAGAAGACAGGAGAGGTGCAGAGGTTATCCAGGGGTGTTTCAGACACTGGGCAGCTGTGGCTCTTTCCTCCGGCAGGAGCTCCAACATGGTCAGAAGGAACGAGCTGAACTTGGAGGCTTCCTCTCGCGGCCACCCGTACTTCTCCAGCAGGATCTCAAACAAGCTCCACGGCTTCAGCTTAGAGATGTGTCGCAGTTGTCCTGCACAGGGTATGAAGTGGACTGATGCAAAGTCTTGTGTCTTGTGTTTTGCAAATACATTTTTAATTTATCTGAAACTTCCCAAAAGAAAAAACATAATCCTGTTCAAGCATGAGAAATATGAGTCAAGGCGAAGACCATTATGTCAGGGTCAAAATGCAGATAACATGGCAGTATGGCATTTACTGTATTTGTTCTTTATTTAGAATACTGGCATACCTTTATGGTTGAAGTACCGTTTGGAGTTTCTCCCCGACACGGCGAACTGGGATGGAAGGGATCCCAGCAGCTCAATGATGTGGGCGATGTGATCTGAGAGAACAAGCCCCCTGTATATTCAGCCCGTGTAGTTTAATCAAGGACAAAAGGGATGCTGTGAACCACACTGACCTTCCTCGCGGCTGAATGAGGCTCCTGATTGGGGGTCGAACAGATAGTCTCCTGTGGCCAGCTCAAAAGCCTACAGTACACATAGAGGAAATTAAGGATATTGCTCTAAAAACCAGTACAAATATGCTGGAATGAAACCCATTGAAAGTGTTTTTCTCACCATGCAGGCGGTGCTCCAGATGTCAGCCGCTGTGTCGTAGTGAGCTCCTATCAGAACCTCCACAGAGCGGTACTGACAAGTCTGGATGTCTTCTGTAAAGTGTTTGTGCTGACGAAAAGAGAGACAAGGTTTTAATATTTGGCCACGGAAGGCCTCACATCTGTGACTATTAACAAAGAAGTTTCTGTATTATTCTTCAGCTCAGAGGAAATGAACCGCATCTCATGACCTACTGTACGTACATGATATTACAGACATTTTAATAATAATATTTGTCTTTGGTTTATCATGTCAGCAGGATTTGGGAATCTCAGTAGTTCTAATGGTATTTAGTCATAAACCAAAGTATTGGATTTAAAAAAAATACTTTTTGACCTGATGATGTCGCTCAATTAAACCTCTGGGGATCATCTATGTCCTTAAAATTCATCAGTAGGGAGACATGAATGTTTGTACCAAAATTCAAAGCCATGTTCAATCCCCACCGTTACTAGGATTCATCCTCTGGGGACCATGAATGCTGTACCCAATTTCATATCAATCCATCAAACAGCTGTTGAAGTTTAAGTTGCAGAATGCTGCTTAAGCAGTGACTTGTCCGGCATTGTTCATTTGTTCAAAACAGTGATGGACATTGTCAAAAAAAAGGAACCGGCTTCTAATGTTTTGGGGGTTTTTTTGCTTTCAGAGCGGCCGCCTCACTCCTGTTTGTCCATTCTGCATCTCAGTCACTTCAATTGGGGTCTTTTCCAGCCCGCCTGCATATTCCCCAACCATCCACAAGGTGCCCTCCTCCACCACAAGTCACCTGACTCTCACTACCACCTGCTCACTTTCACTCATCCAGTGTCTTTACCGGCCATCTGCATCCATTGCCAGCGAGGTCGAATGGTTGTAAATATTTTATCTTATTTTGTTCTATTTTATTCTCATATCACACCAATAACTAAAACAAATTCCTGTATGTGTAACACACGTGGCAATAAATGGCTTCTGATTCTGTTCCTAACATTGAGCCTTAGTAACCAATTAAACAATTTAACCATTAAACAATTTGCTTCATATCTCCAGCAACTGGGAGAGACGCCTTGATTTAAAATTTACCAATTTCTGAATTAACCAAATTTTTTCTTTTTTGTTCATCAAATCTTTACTTTGTTTGATATGTTATAAATCTGTTGCAGTTTTCTTTAAAGCTTTTTTTCCATTTGAATGATGAATGTAAACAAAACAAGTAACTTAACGGTCTGATGCGTCTGAAGCGTCATTCAGATATTCCCCACAATCTCATTATTCTGTGTATTTTGATGCATAAATCAAGATTCAAATGAAGATAAGCTAAAAGTCACTATTACCAAAATCAATTGTGATGCCACAACGGAGGTAATCACTTACTGAATTCTAGTTTAAAGATGAAACTATTTGATACTCATTTTGTAGGTTTAGTTTGCTTATTATTACTCACCACCCAGCAGGCGTTGCCCAAGTCCGCAATCTTGATGAGGATTTTATCAGCATTCTGGGGTTTTAGTAGGTCCAGAGGTACATCTGAGTCACTGATACCTAAAATAACATAAAATAATGTGATCGCTTAGTACCGTGGATCCCAAACTGGGGGGTTCGCCCCCTGGGGTATGTGCAGGGGAACTACAGGGGGGGAACTTGATCAACAATTCACACACCACCTAAAATTACAACAAATACAATTGAAAATAATTTGTAAGGACAAGGAAATATATCATATGGTCGCACCCAAGAAATAACGTGCATTTTGTTCCAACTACGCAAAAAGATGAGAGATAAATAAAGTTGTGATGCGCTTTACGAACACTCTGGTCGGCCAAGAAGAGAGAGTCGGTTGTGTTTAGTGTCCTAAAATGAACCCCAATAAATTGACAAGACACTTGGAAACGCACCGTCCTGATCATGTGAACAAACAACTTGAGTTTTAAAAAAAGAAAATAGACAACTGTCATGCCCACTTTGTAAAATCTGCAAAAAACATAATGAGCGATAATGGAAAAGTGAAGTAATGTGTGCTTTTCTTAGTAAGAAAAACTAGTATTTTATATATTATAATACGATTAATTCAAAACAAAGAAAGGTACGAGCCATTTAGGGGGCGGGGGGGCTTATATGTTCTTATAGCACCAAAGGGTGCCTCAGCAGAAAAGGTTTGGTACCCACTGGCTTAGTGGATCAGACCAGGATAGGCAGAGTGTACTGGTGATCTCATCAATACATGCAAACATTGTAGGGCGTGAGTGGGGAGCGTGGCATGTCCATGTGTCCTTGGGCAAGACACTCAACCTCAACATGGCTCCTGAAGCTGCGACTACCGTGTGTGAAAGGTAGTTATTGATGGGCTCCTGTCATCAGTGTATGAATGAGTGTGAATGGGTGAATGATGTCATATAGTGATAAAGTGCTTTGAGTGGTCAGAAGACTAAAAAAGAGCTGTACAACTACAGTCCATTTACCATTAACACAGACAGGAGTACTTGTTACTGACCACGGGGAGACGATGGTGAAGGAGCAGACCGCTCTTTGTCTGCAGTCTGATGCAATAACGCCAATCTAGAGCCGCAGACGGGAGCATCTGTGTTGAGGGGAGAACAGATGGAGTCTGTGGGGCTGTGTGGAGGCCAGTCCGGTCCGTCTTCCAACAGCAGCGTCTGCCTCCTTAACCTGAGGTCGGGACCTGTGAGCGTAGCCCGACAGGTCGAGCTACGTGTGCTAGATGGAGCAGCATCAGAGAAGGACATATGAAGTTTGTCTTTCTGATTCTGGTCCTGTCCTCGTCGACCCCTGTCTTTTCTTGTCAGTCGCTTGATGGGGCTCTTGCTGGACTGCAGGGATGCAAACAGAGTTAAACAATGAACAAATTGGTGCCTTCAGTATCACAACTTTGTGACTGTTTTGGGAGTAAATCATGTAAATTAAAGTCAGTATGTGCGGTCTGACTTTGGGGGCTGTATCCAAGCCATTAACATAATAGTTCATATATTAACGTGAAATGTTCTGTGGTTTTTTATCAACTACTTTTACCAACATATCTGTATGCCAACGATGACGAGCCCGTAGAGTTTAAAGCCTAGTTTATGCTTCTGCGTTTTCAGAGCGACGCAGACGCAAGACCCCCTTGCGTGTCCCTTGCGTGTCCCTTGCGTGTCTTTTCACACCTCCTTGCGTCCTTGCGTGTGTTGAGCCATTTTTCTAGGCGACGCAGCCTCCTGCAGCACCAGGCTGTGATTGGTCTCTGACTACGTCCTTTACGGAGTCTCACGTCTCCGTTTTCACAGCACAATACGGCCGTTATTAAAAGGAAGAACGTTTACGAGAGAACGGATCAGATTGAAGAGCTTTTAAATATGAGCGCTTGTACAAGCCGTCATTGGCGGACTATGAGGACGCCGGATGGCCTCTGATTCATGGAGGGAGATCTCCACAAACGAGGGGACAAAGTCGTGGAGGAAAATACGGGACAAATGTGTCCTTGATGAAAAGCAGCAGTGTGGATGCACGGGGCAATAAAGTCTATGATACATAAATAAAGCAACCAGCGACTTCCACACACAAAGACGTGACTCTCCAGGTCGTCTTCAACAAAACACGTGACTCCACCTGTTGTTCTGGAGGTGAATCGCTCTGCAACACACGCGAGACTTTACAACCAGGAAGTGAAACGTGCGTTGACGCGTAAAGACGCAGAAACACGCGGCGGCCTTTACATGAAATAAATGTACTAATATCTGACGCTGTTACTCCACATGATGTAAACAGTGAGTTGCCGACATCAAGCTATTTTGAAACAACAACAGTGGCTTTCCGAAGGACATCAAAATCGGCGGTTATATCTTCTTACATGAGCCCAAAACAATAAACTGCTTCCACGTTTTAGGGTCAATGACGCTGCAAAATGAATTTCTTTCTACCCTGGAAATGTATTTACATTTAATATAATATAATATGATATATGTAGAGGATTTGAATGTCTAGAATGTACAGAGGACTGGGAATTATGTCCACCAAAGTCCTAAAGTGCATATTGAAGAGTTAGCTGTACTTAAAAATCCCTTTTCTGACAAGACACCAAAATGACTTGTCAAAATTAGCTGTGTTGTTCATATAATAATATAAAGGAAGTAGAGTGTAGAAGCTGTCATATTAAAACCATTCCTTTCTTTCAGTCGTGATTATTTCATTCCGAATCAATCGTATCTTATTGTAGGATGCTTGTCAACGACATGGTCCGGTATAGAAAGATGCAGCCAAGAGTCAAATACAGAACACACAAGATGCATCTTACCCACTCCCCGAGAGTGTGGAGAACCCCGCTCAGCTTCCCCAAAAACTTGGACAAACTCTGAGGAAGTTATAGCAGGAAAAACAAATGTCATAAAGCAATGATAAGAAGAATAAACCATCCTAGTGAGATGAATGAAACAATGATGAAGACATCTCAGATGACACACCTGTTTCTCTCTGGAGCTTCTGTGCTCTGGCAGGAAGCAAAAACATCAGCATGGAGAAGAAGCACACATTGTAAATAAAAGGGATAAAGGGCCCAAGTGCTGACAATTTTTCTTGCCTTTAATTGCAGATTGCTTGTGACAAATTCTCCTTCAGAATCAAAGTCCGACATACACAAGCTTCACTAACCTGTGGAGCTGGTGAAGGCAGGAGACGCCGGCAGCTGCCACAGCTTGGTGTTGGCTGCCAGCTTCTGAACATAAACATCATCCACTCTCAGGAGGATGTTCTCTGGCTTGATGTCGGTGTGGATAATCTTGCATTTGGTGTGCAAGTAATCTAAACCCTGCAGAACCTGTGATGAGGAATGAAAATACAGTAACTGTCGAGGCAGGGGATTGGTTGAAAAGAGCGGCTGTGTCAATGGTGGAAGATAAGAAAGGGGTTAAAAGTTTGCTCTGCACCTGTGTGAGGATGCTCCTGACGCAGGCCAGAGGGAGGCCTGAGTATTTGGATTTGATGATCCACCTGAGCAGCTGGTGGCCCAGCACCTCCAGAACCATGCACACATCTGGCGAGCCATTAAGGGTCTTGGTTCACACCATTTGGGTACATAGTTTTTTGGGGGGTACATGTTCTGAAAAGGATACGGTCTCCATTCGCTCCAGCGATCCTGAAGTCATCAATAAGGTGCACAATTGTCTCACGTTTAGGATCTCTGGGGTCACTGTCTCTTACCTGATTATGAGAATATGTTAAAATACCCCCCAAAAATGTACAGAAACAAACATTGTGGTGTGTATGAAATAATATTTGCAGGTAGGCTGAGCTATCACTTAATCTGACCAAGACTGAGACGTGCAGCGCATAATTTCTCCTCTCATCTGTAATATAATCAGAATTAACAGTAAATAAAGAAATGTAATGTGGTAACACTGACACATTTCAGAAGTTTGATCTCATCCTGCGCCGTCTCTGTAAACATTTGAGCACTCTTCACCACCTTCAGAGCTACAAAACGCCCCTTCCTGTGTGCAAACAATTATGGCAGTTAGCTACTATCATGAATAAGACCAGTATAAGACTCATCATTATGTTATAAATGGTCAAAAGGTCAACCATGTACTTACAGCATATCCCAGCAGAGCCATACAGTAGAGAAGTGACCCCATCCCAACTTTTGAACCACTTGATAACGGTCAACGAATACCTCTCCGATCTCTACGGGGTAGTATCCGCCTGCAACACAATGCACGGGCTGCATCGACCGAAGCATCTCTACCAGTGTGTCGTGTGTGCTGTGGGAGTACTGCCTACCAATGCCATAGTCTGCAGGGTTCTCCTCCTGCTCCTCATAAAACCCCAGAGGCTCACGTGGATGAGGACGTGTCTCTACGGCTGGAGGGCAGTGGGACGCGGGGGAAGGTGTGGGGGTCCCTGCCGTGTCCGGGGAGGGGTGAGGGCTCGGTTTGTCGGGTGGATTGGAAGAGCTGGCAGAGAGAAGGGTCGATATGGCGGCGGCATATGAAGATGACATGTTTATCAGGGTGGGAAGCGTCCCACCACAGCTGAAGATCCGGATGACCGCAGCGCTCAGGGTGGAAGCTGAGAAAATAAAATGTGTGTACATACTTAAACGGTTCATCAATGGTGCTTACACATTTGAAAATAAGAACTGACCAGCTGACTGCGACTTTCTTTCTGCGGCTTTTTAAAGGGCTAGATACATGTGCGTTTATTTTTATCTGGATGAATGGTATGTCAACGTAAATAGCTCCTTCGCTGGCCCAGCTGCAACTGAACTCTCCCTGCTGTCTAAGTCTAGTCTATCTAAGTCTAGTCTATCTAAGTCTAGTCTATCTAGTGTAGCAGCCACAGTTGTAAACATGAACGGCTGGAAATTCAAATGACAACATGCTCGTTTAAGAGACCTCTGCTTCTCTCAATTAACTTGTTGAAGTTAATGAAATACATGGAGCCTATGATTTGGCGCGTAAAGGGACAACATGGCTGGAGAAGTCAGGGCAGGAAGTGCAATTGAACCTCATGATTAATCATGGCACATAGCTTCGTTTCCACTGTTCCAGTTTCTATGCTGCGCTTGTCTATAATTCACAAGACATTGTTCTGTCCTGTTAGATAGTTATAAAGTCTATTAACATCAACATGTCTTGTGTGATGATATATATATATGCTGTATGCTGCGTATAGCCAACCTTTTAATTGACTTAAACTGTTTTTTTGCTCCCAAGAGACACCAAGTCAAACGTAGTTTTATTTTGAAGGTGAAGGCGTCCAGTCGACTCTCCTGCTTGTCTAAATATGTTCAAGACAAGCTACACAATCAACACTCAACAGCTGTAGAGGAGGAGCCTACTTACCCCCCTGTGTTTGATTAATATCCGGATCTAATATCGGTAACGCGGGAAAAGAAATGAGCGTGACACGAGGCTCTGCTCCTCGCTCGGCCCTGAGTAGAAGACATCAGGTCCAGGAATAGCTGACTGCTCCTGCTGCTGCTGTGTTTCTGACAACGTGTGTCACTATGTAGCTAGCAGGTCTAGTTACAGAGGGGAAAAGGGGGGCGAGGTGCTCATTCTCTTATTTTAATATTTCAACTTTGATATCGTACTACCTTCTACTGCAGGTCACCATAAGACCATAACTATTCTAACGCTACAGGGAGTGAAAGCTACTTTGAAAGCATTGTTTGTTCAGCGTATTTTGCTTCCGTGTTTGTACCACGTTGTGTGTGTGTGTGTGTGTGTGTGTGTGGTCTGAAAATGGGTCATGGAAAATTAATAAAATAAAAAATAAAAAAAAATCAATTTTATGGTAAGGTGGGGATTCTTTGCTGTTAAAAGCCTGTAGGCGCTAGTTATATAATAACAAAATGATTACACATTATTTTCTATCATTTCAGTACCATCTCCAGTGGCCTGGTGATGATGAGACGTAATCCATCATCATCAGACCAGTAGAGCTTTTTATTACTATTTAAGTGCCACTTTAAAGTGCTGCGTTCCACTTTCACTATTTGACGGTATCCACAATTTGCCGCTGGTCCGAGTGTGTTACAATGAATTAACATGGCCAACACACTCTGCATTCATTTCAACATGACACTTTATTTTAGAGTGAATGCACAGCCTCATACATACAGCATAGGGCCTACTCAGTTTTATAGACCTGGGTATGAAGAGAGGAGCAAAAAAGAAAACAGCTGCATTTAAATATAAAAAAGAAGAATCAAATATTAACACATCATCAGCTGCTAAATGAAGTTGTTTTAACACACATTACCAATTCCCGCACTGAGAAAGAGCTAGAGTAGATAGCTACAAAATGTTATATGTTAATAAATATAATATAGTTGGAATGAACAAGCTTTAGAGCTAAATTCCTACCAAACCTTTTCAACTTACAGAGTTATATTATATGAAAAATACATAGGACCCCCAGTGCACAGCAGTTTGGTCTTTGATTTGAGTTTAACCAGCAGGACGAAGCTCTCTGAAGCTGGATACTGACAGGATGTGAACACATCGGACAGCGCGAGGAACCACAGAACATTCCACAAACGTAAAGAGTTACATTCAAATGAGTCTGAAGATGATGGCCACAGTCAAATAAATGGGGGAACAAAACTTTAAAATGTTCTATCTACACAAAAACATTTATTGTCAGCTTCCTTAAGGATTTCATGTATTATTCTGATTTTTACGATACTATTAAGACTGATTTCTTATGATACATTATGACAGTTAGCTACTTTGAAAAAAAAACAAAACATTTTTTCTTTCTTTTCTGAGACAACAGCAAAACCAAGCACATGAAATGCCTTGAAATCATTACAAATACAAAAATCAGCCTCATTAACAAATTTACTGGTCTGAGACCTGCTCACACCGTCATTCACTTTACAACCAACTAAATAGTGCTCGCTTGGGTAGTGGAAATAGTGGGGAGGTTATTTTGATTAAATACTAGTTTAAAAATGGCATTGTTAGTACAGGAATAAAACTCATCAGTACATCCCACTATATACAGACTCACTCCCAGATGGCCCTTCAGTAGTAATGTTGACAAAACTTACTCCCTTGTTTCTTTCCCCAAATGATGAACCCCGTCTACTGCCCGTGATCATTTCAAAGGGAATTAAGGCTTAAGCTGTTCATAAAGTGCTCCATACGACACTCAATCCTCTACAACTAAATGCTTTTATGTGAGTAACTTATTGTCATACAGTCATGGCTACTGCCTCACAGTAGGTTTCAGGTTTGGTCGAATTCTTCTCTCAAGGTCAGCACAGAGAAAGCTACATTTACTGGCCAGCACTAAGCTGAATCTAGAAAAATTACAATACATGACATCATTCCAAATAACATCATTTCGTAACATTTGTGAACTGTTTTCAGATTTTTGATTAGACTAAGCTCACAAAGGATTAATGCTAGTATTTCAGATTATTAGAAAGCACTTTAAAGGTTTCTAACCAACATTTAGTTTTGTCATTAAAACATGTAGGCACTCCTGTCTGCTCACACACAACACACACACACACACACACACACACACACACACACACACACACACTACAGTCCCCTCTCGTTTATCAAGCAGGAAAATTACAAATGGCTGAGAAATTAACGGCAAATGAAGGCTGACTTATGTTTTAACTTTACGAACACACATTCACTGGCACGTTTTAATACTTTTCAAATGATGTGAGCTCACTTCTGTATCACAAGATCAATAAATTAATATAGTTGTTCTTTATATCTCAGAAGATACAAAATAGTAATTTAGAGTTGTATATATTCTGTAAAAAAGTATATCTTGGGAGACTTTTCAGGATTATCAGGAAGGAATTTACTGCTTGGGTTCAACCAGAAATATTGATACATTGAGTACAGCATGAACATATCGTTATCAGATGAGTCGACTCCAGTGGGCCTCCACATGAGGCCGCTGGCTCACTTCATACTCTGTTGTACAGCTACAGTTTGTCTTGTTTCCAGTCTCTTTCTGCTGAGGTTGCTGTGTTTTGCTTTGCTGTTGAGGTCACATTATACAACTCGTCTGTGTGCTGTGTGTGACTATGTGAGTGTGAGTGAATGTGTGTGTCTGTGAGGCTACACTGCTTCTGCTCAAGTCATGTAGAGTGTGTGTGTGTGTGTGTGTGTGTGTGTGTGTGTGTGTGTGTGTGTGTGTGTGTGTGTGTGTGTGTGTGTGTGTGTGTGTGTGTGCTGCTTCAGACTAGGGTGCCTGGGTCTGCACTGGGTTCCTTTGGGGTCACATCTTGCATCTCTGGGTGAGGAGGAGTGTCCTGATAGAGAGAGAACTCCATTGACCTGTTGAGGAGACAAATCAATACAGCGCTCCGTAACCAGGCAGAAAGTGGAGGTTAAAACAGCTGTGAGAAAACATTTCATGATATGAAACTGCAAATCATAGTCGTGTGACATTAAGGAGAGGGGAGATCCCTGTTATAATCAAAGATGCTCATTAATGCAGGTGCACAGTCTATCTGTTGAGTCATCAAAGTTTTGTGTATACATGTGACTGCTGTTTCTCAAGGGACAGATGGAGGCACTTCAAGGACGTCCGAGTGCCTGGACGCTGGCTGAGAATGCTGACCATTCAAAAACAGCAACACAAGCAAAAAATAAAACAAGCACAGTTATAAAGGTCACAGGAAGATAGATGGGATGGCTCAGGATGAAGTACGAATAATAGCCCCCTCCTCTGCTGAGGGAATGGAATGCTATTGAGAAAGATGTTTCCGCAAATGAATAGTGAGGGACTGGATTTGCAAACAAACATGTTGGTATTTTAAGTCTAATAAAATGCCCTCTGACAAAACATTTTAGTAAAAGCTTCTTCTGTTGTTGGAGCAATGCAATTTTAAACAACAAAGCAAGTTACTATCAGGGAAGAAGTTGGGAGTTCACAACACTGATAATAGACTCACAGCTGTAGAAGAGACAAGGCAATAAGAGGAACAAAATACCCACCTTCCATGCAGCGGGTGACCGTGGAAGCTGGCTGACTGGGGCATCTGAGACTTTTGGAGGTTGGCCGGTTCCCCTTGAACTGACTGCGCCTGGTGCACCAGCGGGTGGGGGTGTGAGAGGCGCGAGATCCCCGCCTCGTGGCCCTTCGGGGAGGCAGAAGGATAGCCGAGGGCGTTCCTCAGGTACCAGTCCCTCAATCCCTCCAGAGCCAAGGCTTTATGCAAACTGCGCGTCGAGTCTTCTGGGGTCGGGAGAGAGAACGGTGGGGGTCTGCGGCTGAAGGAGGGGCCAGACAGCTCAGTCTGGTAGGGATGCAGGTTGGGGATGGAGGAGGTGGTGGTGGTGCCAGAAGCAGGGAGGGGAGAGTCGTATGCTGACAGCAGGATGGCATCCTGGGGATGTTGCTGCAGCGGAATAAAGGGTCCACACGATTTGGTTCGGGTGACTTTGACCCTGCGCAGCTCCGCTTGGGACCCTCGGAGGACCATGGGGCTATAAGGAGGTGCGGCGCTGGGGAGGTTCACCTGGGAATGGGAGAAGCCGTTGGCATGGGGGGGCACCACCGCGGTGGAGGAGCGAGGAGAGGACATGTCGTGCCAGACCCTGCCTGCGGATTGGTACAGGTGCTGCTGCACTTGCATCCTCTGCTGTTTGCCCCAGATGTAGTCCATCAACACCTCATTGTAGCCTCCGCCGGCCCCTCGGTCGCCCATGGACAGACGCATTTTGGCCTGGTCCACGGAGCCGTCAGCATGTCTTTCGGGACTGCCCAGATGAATGTGTCGCAGCTTGCCATCAGTCAACGTCTCCGAGCTCTTGTACGGCCCTCCTCTGGGGGGCATCCCGTTTCTGGGAGCCGGGTCGTCGGGGAGGCTCGATCTATCCAGCAGGGCCTCGGAGCTGTTGCTGCGCCTGGCCCGGGAGCTGTACGGGCAGCCTCGGCGGTCAGAGGAAGTCCCCTCCTGGGCCAGCGGAATCATATAGGGCACATCCAGGCTGCCCGACCACTGCTTTAACCCACCACCACCCGACGCTTCCGGCCTAAAGCATTAGAGCACAACAAGCTCGCGTGAGGACGGGACTTCTAGCAACTATGAATAAAGAAAGGTAAACTGCATTTCACCCCAAATCACTTAAGGGAGGACACAATTAAAGACCAGGGGATGAGCTCGAGCCCCTTGGTGGTAGCTGAATATGACACTAATCGCTGGTACAAGCCTGACTCTGAGTCTCCACCCGTACAGTGATCACAGCGGGAGGCTGCATTGCACAGAAGCAGCGCCGGGTCACAAATTACCTGACGTGGACGCTGATTGGCGCGGTTCGGGCCAGCAGAGGAGTAGCTGGAACACTTCTGCCTTCAACGTTGGATGCACTTCTAGGTAAGGAGTGAGCCGGGCTGTGGGGAGCGACACAAGAGGACGTGTATGTATTTGGCATTTGTCGGCCACTAATGAACACAATGGTGATTAACAACACATGGACTGCAGCTCTACATACCTGACAGAGCTGGTGACAGAGTTGCGGCGTGTCCTCATCTCGTAGTAGATGTCGACCGGTGACAGCTTCCTGCTGACCCTGTGGTCAGGGCTGCCCACCGTGAGCCGCGGATGAGACAAAGAGCGCTGGTCAGCCGCCACACTGGGAGACGACTCTTTAATAGAGAAATTAGCGTTTAATGGAGACGGAGAGGCGACATGACAAACACAACAAGTGTGCTGTTTGGCTTTTACAAGGCAAACGTGGTGTTCATATTGCCTGCATTTCCATTTCAAGTGCAAATGAGTCTTAAGCCTAGTTTATGCTTCTGCGTTTTCAGAGAGTCACAAGGACACGCAGACGCAAGAGTCCCTTGCGTGTCCCTTGCGTGTCCCTTGCGTGTCCCTTGCGTGTCTTTTCACACCTCCTTGCGGGCGTCGACCCATTTTTCTAGACTAGCGTCTAAAGCGACGCAGCCTCCTGCAGCACCAGGCTGTGATTGGTCTGCTGACTACGTCCTTTACGGAGTCTCACATCTCCGTTTTCACAGCACAATACGGCCGTTATTAAAAGGAAGAATGTTTACGAGAGAACGGATCAGATTGAAGAGCTTTTGTGGGAAGAAATGCGTAAATATGGGCGCTTGTACAAGCCGTCATTGGCGGACTATAAGGACGCCGGATGGCCTCTGATTCATGGAGGGAGATCTCCACAAACGAGGGGAACAAAGTCGTGGAGGAAAATACGGGACAAATGTGACGTTCTTTGCCCGTCTGTATCCAGTCGACTCACCGTTGTCATGGGATGTTGAATCGGACATGGAGCTCGTACTCTCTGACATGATGGTGTCCTCTGGAAGACAACAAACCATACAGGTTTACATGCATGTTAAGCTGTTTGCTTGCTGCGTGACTGTGAATGACAATGCGGTTTTGTTTTACATCAAACACGTAACACGTCTCTAAAGCGGGTGTGTGTTTGGAGACTGTACCCGTGTGACACCCCCGGTGAACGGTCCTCTTGCTATTTGGGATGTTTCGGTCAGATTCCGAATGTCGGTACAGAGCCCCGGTGAAGATGGCCTTCATCTGCTTTCTTTGGGCCGCCTCATCCTTCAGCCGGGCAGAAAGCCGCGTTACACCCCGAGTACACAACGGTTGAGATGCCGCGTAAACACAACTGATATTCAAGGTGTTGACTTACCTCCGCCTTGGTGTTGGGCGGCAGGCCAGCTCTGCGCTGCACCGGTGGGGGTTTCTCTCCCGTCTCCAGGGGGAAAGCATGTGGCAACTTCCCAGTCAGCTCCTGCAGAGGACATTTATTAGCCCCCACCAAAATCCATCTCCTCACTGGCCTGCGAGGCCTAAAGTGTTAGCCATAAAACACACCACTTAACAGATTAGTTTAGAACTCTCAATAAAACCCACCCCTCAGACAATTGACTGCACTGAAATAGGAGAAAGAATGTTGTCATCATTTTAAGCACACGGAAACGGACTGAGCCGCTATACGTCCAGCTGAAAACAAGGGGATGTTTCAAACAGCTGTTACTACATTAAGACAGCGTCCCTGGAGCAAATATGAATATACAACCCATTTGTATAGGAGAGGAAATCACTGGTTGCTATTTGCGTCAACATTTTTAGAACATATTATATAATCTGTAATATGCTGCAGTCTCTTTGGCAAAAGCACAGTAATCAGAACAAGCATTAAACTGCAGTCATCGAACCCTTGTGGGTGCCGTGCGGACAGAGAACGGACAGCGACTCACTGCTTCCTGCAAACAGACTTGCTTGAGCTCTCCCACCCTGGAGTTGAGGAGAGCCTCCAGGACCTGCTTCCTCTCCTGCAGAGCTGCAACCCTCTCAGCCTGCGGCTTGCCGTCCTGGCAGCCGCCAACATCTATGCCGCACGAGATGAAACGCATTTTTAGGAGCAACTCATCTAAGTTTAAGGCGGGCAATATTCTATTATTATTAGAGTTCAAAGTTCCCACAGAAAACAGCCGCACCAACCCCAGTACAGTATTGTCAGGGTATCCAAAGGCTGGTATGCCTCTTTCCTCTGCGTCAGGGGCCTCATTGTTGTCCCGAAACTATTAAAAACTCAACAATGAGCCACGCCATCCTACCGGGTCACATGTTCCTTGTACAAGGAAAGTGGGATTTATTTTGAGCCAGTCCTGCTGTACAACCAGGTGGCTGGTTGACGGGAGCCACAGATGGTGGTGGAGTCAGAAGGTTTATCGGCGGACTAACACATTAGTCACATGTTAGTTTTTGTGTTTTGGGGGGGATTTGCTGACACTGTTATTAATAACATTTAGTAATAATTGTTTTGGATTCTACGGGTTCCCCAATAACTGCTGTTTTAAGTGTCTGGTTTCTAACAATGTCCACTGACCTTCCCACAGAGTCCTTCTGAGATTATGTGACAGCTGTGGAGGCGGCGCGTGAACAAAATGGCTTTTGTTTTTTCAGCTGGAAGTTTCCTTCTCTGTGAGAAGCCATTCCAGGCTTGTTCAGTGTTAACTCTGGGAGAAGGCATTAGTACTCACCAGGAGCCCCCAAACCCATGGAGGTGATCACATGTCCTTTGACCTCCATGTGTTGTGGTTCTGGGAACTTTACAACTCGCGCCTCTGGTCCTCACCTGTTGAAAAAGCAACAGAGACTCAAACTTGTGTTCAAAGCTTGGATTTTCTGTCTCTCTCTCTAATCTCGTGGTATCAGCCATGTGTTTGCTTTAAGTCCACAGTCAGGGAGTCAGCAGCAGATAAGCATGGAACGCTGCAGCAGGTAACACCAGGCTGCGTGAGAGCGACGCATGGACCTCTCTTCGGGTGTCTAAAGCCGGATCCTTGAAAATGTAAAAACAATTACAAATTAAATACATTTTACACCTGACTTTTTTTTTCTGGGACTGTAAAATATACGTAAATCTTCAGAATCAGAAGCCATTTATTGCAACATATGTTACACATAGAGGAATTTGTCTCTTACAGGAAAAATGAGCATTTACAACAAGAGCTTCAATAAAAGTCGTTTAGGTTTAATAATATGGCTCTTATAGAATGTCAAACAATCACCCGGTTTCACTGAACATTTATAGAATATAAAGAGATCAATTAAAGTCCATCCATAACTTGCATCTTAAGGTAATTAAGTAATACTCTAAAAGTAGCTCTCTGATGCAATTAGCGACCAATTAATTAGCAACGAGAGGGAAATGAGACAGGATAAGTAACATGAATAATGTATGGCCAGAAACCTACCCTGTGTTTTCTGTCTCACTAACCCTACAAAAGAGAGGACGACACCAGGAGAGGGACGCAACCTTCAGCAACGGTTCTTGCTGTCATAAATATCAACGTCCACATGAAATTCCTTTTGCGTGGAATTGTGTTCCCTGTATTTCACAGCCGTTACACATGGAGCGTATGGAACAGGTCTACTGAGAGGGAATGTGTTGCCTTACATTGAATAAGACCCTGTGAAGACAAAAACCTCAGACATAAGAAATACCGCCTTCACTCGACTGCAGCGAGCGCGCCATGTTTTTATGTGCACTTTTCTCCACATAATGGAGGTTCATTACGAACAAAGCCTCTGCCCTGATGCCCAATAGAGACCTCACATCCAAAAATAGCTATAGCTTTTTCTGCCAAAAGCCTCTCACTCACCAGCGCTCACAAATCGCTGCCATAAACAAGCGCCTTGGCAGTCGAGTAAATCACAAAACGACTCCATTGAACTCTCAAATCTAGGAGGAAGGCCTCCAGTGCTGAAGCAGGAATGAGCCGTCCTCTGCCAGCATTTACATCTTTTCCAAGGAAACGTTGATCCATCACTTAGGCGGCTGTCTTAAAGCTCTGCTCGCAAGTGACCAGGCTCGTTGCTTATCAGGGGTCAGTAAGACATAGTCTTTAGTTTCCCTTGTTTCCCTCATTCAAACAAACCACTTGTTTGCATTGGCTCCCGTCCTGGAACTGAACCAGTGGCTGCTGTTTGCTCCGGTATACGTGTGAAAACCCCCGGGATGCTTGACCTCTGACATACAAGTAGGGGCCTTTCACAGGAACAAATGGCAGAGTTACGGCTGCCGCGCACATGTAGGCTCATCACGAGAGTCCTATTAAAGGAAACCGGGTCAATCACATTTAAAGTCAATCTAATATACAGAGAAGGACCTTCTCCCGGGAATGTACCCGACAGAGTGGTGTATGTTCGGCGTTGGACATCAAGGCCGAGCAGCAGACTGACCGGGGGGGTCAGGAGGAGACGAAGGGCTTTGTCCACAGAGCAAAATGTTAGCTTGGAAGCTCGGTGCTGTTCTTTTCACTCACTAAAATGTGTCTCTCAAATAAAAAACAATGACTTCAGTGTTCCGGGCTCCGTGGTGTTTCATTTCTGACACGATACAATCATTTAAATCTTTACAAAGTAGCTTTTGAAGAGGGTTCATTTTATCTACACACTCTCTCGGGTTTTGTTGCTACTTGGTCTGGTGTGACCAGGAGCTAATGTGGCCCAACGTTCGCAGGTAAATAAGTCAGACTCTACTTCTCTACGGGACAAAAAGCGTCTGGGTCCAGCAGCGATTCATCACAGTCAACACAGCCCGACTGCTGCTCAAAAACAGCGTTAAGCCCGTCTCAGTCTGTCCTCTCAGCTATCGTTACACAAAGTGTTACATCTCACTCTTACTTTAGTGTAACTGAAGATGTATGCAGTTTGCGAGAGCTTTTTGCTATTTCTGTGAAAAAGATCCATTGGCAGCTGTTGCTTTCTATTTGGCCTAAACAGGAAATGAATGTTCCAAGCCAGAAGCAATAGTTATAAAAGCTGTACTGAAATCCAAAAGAGTCCCACAGAGAAACAACGGGATAATATAGGCCACCATTTATGATTACCTTAAAAGAGAAAACACACCAATGCAGCGAGTGCTCAGCGGCAGACAAACATCAGAGCGCTCACAGGGGCCCACAGCGACGCTCAAAGACGTACCTGAAGGTATCACTCCAACCAGTACTGAGAATGAAGAATAACACACCTGAGAGGCTCAGTGCGCTGACTCGTTGAAGTCAAGCGCTTTACTGCGTGAACATCTGGCCTACAGATGTGTGCAGAGGTACAGTAAGCTAGAGGTACAAAAAAGCAACGCGGGGCGGCATCGCATTCCATAGAGGAGGAGAACGAGAGGGCGAGCGTCAAGGGGAGCGGCATCGAAGGACGCATCGGAGGGGAAGTGAGTCCGGTAGATATGCAGGCGAGACGATGCATGTGTGCGTGGTGGATGGGGGGGCAGATAGCACTGTGGGAGCCATGCTGATTAAAACATGAGCAGAGCGATGAGAGCGAGCCGCCCCTGTGCGCCGCACATCACACGAATGCAAATCAGCGAGGAGTTTAATATGCAGGTCCGAACATTTAGGCCCTGGAAGGTACGGGTCCAGAGCCTCCCACGCCCGGCACCGCTCTCCCTTCAGATCAGAAGTGCTACATACTAGATCACAACAAAGCTGAGCTTAATTCCTACAAGCAACTGTTTTATAAGCGGTTTACTCATCCCTCTTAAAGAGATGCTCTCTCTCTCGTCAGCTTTTATCTGGCCCAAGTGTGCCAGAGACCGGCTGCTGCTGTCAACAGCATTTAAATAACTGATATATTCATGACAGTACTGCACAGTGGATGCAACAGCCTCACATCTGTTGCAGCGGCAGGGGGAGGGGAGCAGCTGAAGCAACGGACAGGTGAGGTTGTGAGGCCCTCGTGGCTGCTGTTGGCTCAGCTGCTGCTGCCGCCCGGTGACCGGAGCAGGGTTACAACAATGCGGACGAGGAGCCCAAAAATAAAAAATAAACTGGGCCAATGGCGTCGCAATGTGTGTCACTTTGAAACTTCCGCACAAGAAATGGCGAGTCCGGGACAACACTTCTGAACCTGGCTTTGACTGATTTTAACGTCCAAAAATGAGTTTGGGTTGTGACTTGTAATGATTAGGAAAATGAATTGAATTGAAATGTTGACATCCAAATGATTTTAACCTCAGCAAATAGGAGGAGTACGATACAGGTTTCTGCTGAGGGTGACCCCCATCCCCTGCCCCCAATATGATCTCTTCTCGCGCTCTATGTATCTATGAAATACTGATTTATGACACGCTGGCCGGCCAGCTTAGCTCCGACTGACCAATCCTCGCCGTCTCTCCTCCGCGGCCTTGCCGCTCACCTCTGCACGTTTGACAACAAAGCGATCCACCTGGATTCTGCTAAGCTGAGTGTGTGTGTGTGGGGGGGGGGTAATAAAGAAAGGAATGCGGAGCTAACGTCCGAAGGGATTATTACTATTTCCCTTTGCATGGCAACACCTGAAGGGATTTCTGTACGTATTCCAATGTTGTTTTTCGTTTACACTGTGGCTGTAATCCGCCATGTTCGGTGTACGAGGGAGTCCAAGGCTGCTTATGACGTGCAGCCACAGCCTTACATCCATTACTACAGCCTGATCGGATTCTTTTTTTTGGTGTGTTCTTTTCGAAAGAAGAAATGTGAGTGAGTTCTCTCTCTAATCCACTAAATGAGAGCACTGGTTCTCTTTTCCAACATCAGATAAGGTCTGGGGTTTGAATCCCTAAGCACCAAAGCGCTTTGGAAGAGGCCAAAAGCGCATGTTTATTTTAAATACATGCAAATGGGGGAGTAAGAAGGCTCTGTATGCAGAGCAGGGGGCGAGTGTGTGAATTTTCACACCCTAAATCTGCATGCTTGCTGCATGCACGACTGAGCCAGACGCTCAATTGGTGTCAGTCCGTGTCTTGGGCATCATAAAAGGACCCGTGTCACCTTGGCGTGACTAAATGGGGAAATAAATGGGTTTGCACCAAACTGGGACAAAGTCAATGGTTTTTGACTGAATAGCAACACCCAACAGGAGCATGAGAACCACAGGAAGTGCTTGATTAAATAGTGGGGTGGCTGTGGCTCAGTGAGTAGAGCCAAGTTGTCCCTAACCCTCAGGGCTGGTAGTTTGAATACCTGGATCAATTATCCACGCATCCATGAATGAGACACTCAAGGGACCAGTTGTTTTACATTGCTCCTCATGCACAGGGATTAATGCAGGGGGGGAATTCAGCGCATGTACCTGCAGCTGAAAAGTTTCAAGTGAAGTGGATTGACACTATAGAGCTAGGGGAGAAAACTAACCCACATGTGCCATTATCCCCCCTGAATATGCGGACACCACCGTCCCGCCATGAATGATTGCCTATGTGACACCAACCCCCCCCCCTTACAGTGGGGCAATCGCGAATACACATCAACCCAAACAACAGGAAACCGATCAGCAGCAAAGTGGGAAAACCATCTTCTGAAAACAGAGAGGTGTTTCCCGGGTACACCAAGGGAGGGGGGGGGGGGGGTAACCGGGAATCACCCTGAAGGCACCAACCAACCCCTCACCCCCACACACCACCCATTTGATGTTTTTTTTAGGATCCAGACCGACATCCTTGTTAATAACGGGGCTGAAGGCTGCTGCATGGGGACGAGAACAGTGATCAATAAGACTATTAGAGCTCCACCACGATGCAGTAACAGGGACAAGTTGTATGTAGAGAAGCATGACACCGATTGTTAGTCCTTCCATGCTGCCCATTGGAAATTCACGCAGATTCCGCCGTTGCGGTCTCGGTATTTCCTGGCTATTTTTTTAGTGAACGGTGCGAAACAAACAATATGTCCCGGTGCCGTTTCCGGGCGACGGATCAAAGACACACACACGAGATTGTAAGTCAAACTGTCCATCCTGGCATCCAATGCACACGTACAAAAACAGAAAACGCATGTAGAGCATGTGTGGCCCCCCCATTAGAGCCCCGGCTTCTGACGCTGCAGCCATCGTGCACAGATCTGCATAGACGCAGACGGCTGATAACAATATCGCAGGTGTGTCACTGACGGACAGGGTGACAACACATGCACGCGCGTCCCATTTGCAATAAGAAAAAAAACATAGTAAATAACGTCTTGTAATCTCCTATATAGGCCGAGCTATTGTCTCTCTTGACAGATATTGTAGGTCTGCGCTGACTTGGCTGTTCATACAATACGCCCAGGCAGGATGAGAAGGACGTGTTCGTCCTCTTCTTCTTACCAGAGAGCATGACCGATGTCTTCGGAGGTCTCCATGGTCCTCTGTAGCAAAAGCAAGCCGAGAAAAATCATCCCTGCGCGTGACCACGGGACCAAATCCCTTCCCCCGGGGAGAGCGCTTCAATGAATTAAACGTCCGCTACTTTCGCGTTATACGAGGCGGGGGTGGGCACGGTGGGGCGGGAGGGGGGACGTCGTCCATGGTTGCTCCGTATCCCAGTTGTAATTCAGCAGCGGCTTCGCGTCCTCCGCCGTGTCGGAGCGCTGCGCATCTCCGAGGAGAGAAGGAGAGAAGGAGAGGAGAGAAGGAGAGGAGAAGCCTTCCTTTCTGCACCGGATGACAAACCCTCCTCTTTCACACGGCGCTGCTGTCACGGCAACGAAGCCCCGCCCACATGTCCCTCATCCAGCTGTTGCATAGGCACGCGTACATTGACGTGGAATAATAAAAGGGGGCGGGGCCCTTTCTCATTCAATTCAATGAGAAAGTGTGTCCAAACCTTTGACTGTACATTTATTCATTATAATTTGCTTTAGTTGAGAAGAAGCCGCTTTAAATGACCTGAACTGGTTCTCAGGGCGCTAGAGGAGCCTTAACTTCTTATTATTGATTAATTCATTAATGAAAGACATTAATGGACCACAGATCGAAGTCTCCTGAGCAGGCATTAAGCTGTCGTTCCTACTAAAACAATGCCTAATAACAAAACCAATAACTCAAGCAATGAGCGAACCTCTGACGCTGTGAAATATGATCACACCTACAGCCAACAAACAGGGCTGTCCGATCACATCCGTTTGCTATACAGGCTTTGATTTAAGGTCCCAGTAGCAACAGCTTTTTAAAGAATTCTTTAGCCAAACAGAAAAGACATCTGATATGTGAGAAGAGTGCATATTATGGCAGCAAATCACTGTCAAAATTCGAGAGCGCAAATCAGGTTGATGCGCGCGCGTAAATCCAACATCCGCGAGCAAATCTCCGTCTCGAGCGAGCAAAAGTTTATCTCGCGCGAGATTTTTGCTCGCTCGCGAAACGTGAACTTCCTCGCATTGCTCTTAATGTGCCGGTAATGATGGTAAATGACGGTTGTAGCTGGTTGTCATCTACGGTCCACTACGATTACCGAAGGGGGGCGTTTGTTTTTTGACAACGTTTTATCTCATAATTTCGACTTTGTATCCCCTTTCTTTAGTGCGGAAATGGGCTTCTATAGTTGTATGAATTGTGCCTATAGTTAGGGCTGGCTCAGGTTAGTCCGGACCAGCCCTTAGTTAAGCTGCTACAGGCTTAGACTGCCGGGGGACTTCTTAGGACACGCCGAGCTCCTCTCTCACGCTCTCCTTCTACCATAATCCACGTTTTATTAATGCACATCACTAATTCAGCTTCTTTCCGGGAGTTTTTTTTGTGCTTTCTCCCCTAGCAGGTCTCTGTAGATCGTGGTTCCTTCTGGACCCTGGTCCTGACACCTGCCGTGGCCCTGCTGACGCCTGCTGCTGCCATCATCATCATCGTCATTATTATTTTAGATATTAATCATTTTATTGTACCCATAAACCAACATTACCCTCTCCTAAAGTCTCTGTGCTCTCCCTCCCCACAGGCTTCTGTGGATGGTGGTTCTATGTGATGGTGGTTCTACCTGATGGGGGTTCTATGTGATGGTGGTTCTACCTGATGGTGGTTCTATCTGATGGTGGTTGTCCCTGCAGTGGTCCTGCTGTGCGCCTGGTTTACTACTCACAGTTACTTGAATCATTCCTGTCATATAGTCTCATGTATTATACATTGTTCATTCTGTACACATGGCATCCATTGTAGTCTGTCATCAGGAGACGGATCCTCCTCTGACGTTCTCACTAAGGTTTCTTCCCTGTTTTCCCTCTTGTAAGGGTTTTTTCATTGTTTGGGGAGTTGTTCCTGTGCCGATGGAGGGTTTCGGGACAGAGGATGTCGTATGTGTACAGACTGTAAAGCCCTCTGAGGCAAATTTGTAATTTGCCATTATGGGCTATACAAAATAAAATGAATTGAATGCATCACTCCAGCCAATCCAAAGACGGGGTTTGTAACCAATCAGGTGTAGAGACCATGGTGACTGGCTCCGCCCCCTTACCGTCAAAAAGAAAAACAGCAAGTGTGTAGAAAACACCTTCGAGCGCGAGCAGAGACTAACCTCGCGAGCCACCAAGTTCACGTTTCGCGAGGGAGCAAATATCTCACGCGAGACGGACTTTTGCTCGCGCATCAACCTGATTTGTGCTCTCGAACTTTGACAGTGATTTGCCGCCATCGGCATATACTTTTATGTAAATAAAGTAATTGAGTCCCAATGGTCATGTAGTAGTGTTATGTAGTCTTAATTAAATGTAGTGTTAATTAAATTGTAAATTGTATATTGGTCAGTTAGAAGAGATTTATCTCTCACCTGTTGCTGTGTTGTTGTTTTTTAATCGACTTTAATCAATTCGCTCCTTTTTTTTTTTAAAGGGCGGTAAATAAAATGTCACTATAATCTGCCATAAAATCAGAGTTTTTTGTACAGGACATTTTTCAGCATCTTTCCAAGTCCTTTAACAGCATTTGTTGGTATACCAGGTTTTGATGAATCATTGAGTGAGTGTTGCTACGTGAACTGAAAAAAAAACATAGAAATCAAGCCAGCATGTAGGAAACATCGAGAAAGCGATCACAATATAATTTACTATTTTAAAAAAAAATAAGAAAAGGTATGAGATGCACATATAACTTACTTATGGTACACATGACAACACCGTTGAAACAGTGTCCGTTGTTGCTGGTGGAAAAATGAGTAGGGAACACGGCAAAGAATTTCAGCTCCATTTTTGGGCTGAGAGAGACAACATTTGGTGTTGTAAGTATCAAATAGTGTAATAATGGTGAGGGTCACCGATTCCTACTAACCCAACAGAGAGTCTGACCAAACGGTCTTGAAAAAACAACATGACGGCCGACCTCTAAGAAGAAACCCGGCTGGATCATAACGTCGCAGCTCCTGGAATGCTTCAAAATAATCAAATCATACTATTACAGTCCAGAGGTAAATCTGTCAAATGTCCTCAACATATATATATATATATATATATATATGTAAATCATCACCAAAACATCACCAGAAACAAAAAGGAGAACGTGGTCATGGTCCTTCTTCTGGCTTCTGCTGAAGTTAAAGTCCCTGCAGCGCTCTGCAGTTCGTACAGACGCTCACCATCCTCTTCACCAAGAAATCACACGTTGACGCCCGCTCCAGTATGATAGGGTTTCTTTTAGAGAGTGGCTCCCGGGGCGGCAGTCCCTGGCACACAACGTACTCCTCCAGGCCCAGGAGCAGGTCCACCACTTCTGTCACAGAGGTCAGGCGCGCCGGGTACCGGTCGTACAGCGAGTGGGTGGGCAGCAGCGGCTGCTTTTGGACGGTGACCTGATAGCAGAAGCCCGGGTCGATCAGCACTATGGTGTCGCTCAGGCTCGACTGCTTGGAGCACTGGACGAGCTGCAGCTGCGGGCCTTCCACCATGATGGAGTACCACAATATCGGCATGGCGGAGGAGCGCAGGGACTGCAGCAGCTTCGTCAGCTGGCTTTCCACGTCGTCACCGCTGCCCGACGGGGTCTCAGCCAAACTGAAGATCTGTGTGATCTGCAGAGAGAGCAACAGCACGCATTCTTATCTGCAGATCTGTATATTTCAACAAATACAAATTAAGCAGGACAGTCACCATGGGCACCTCCTCCTCTTCATCTTCCCCCTCTTCCTCTTCATCATCGTAGTCGTCGTCATCATCATTGCCATCATCATCATCCTCATCATCATCCTCATCGTCGTCGCCGTCGTTGTCCATTTCTTGAACACACCTACGACTGGTTCTGCTTGGATGTGATTTAGCGGCGTCCCATCTGCTCAGCGGGTCCTGAATCGATGACGGTTAAACAGTAGAAACATCACAGCCGCATCAAATCCACCTTAAACTGCAGGTTGGATCCGTTACAGTTTTAATACAAAACAAAATCTGCTTCTGTATCAGACTTTTTTTCGGAGGGAAGGGTGGGTGTAGTCGTTCGGGGTGGAACTGGTGCACAAAAAGACATTCCACACTTTCTTGGGGGGCCGGGGCCCCCCTGGTATAATACTAGGGGGAACACTGCTATATGTAACCGGTGTAGTTCAAATAAAGAAATGTCCTACCAAATGGACATATGTACCTTCACATTGACTGACCGACAAAAGGGCAGAGGGACAGAGGAAGAAGGACAGATATCCATCCAAAGGCACGCAGTTGCAAAGGGATTCATCGAAAAACGCTCTTAAAAAGAAGCGGTCAAACGGAATTGGATTCATTCCACTGAGCAGCAGGACAACAGAAACATGAGGAAATGGACGAGGTGCCAAAAGCATTTGTGAGGGAACGCGTCGTGGACGTCATGGCCACACAGGTGATCAGTTGAGTTTTGAGCCTTTGAAAACCATCGGTCCAAAACAAGCCACTATCTCTAAAAGAGCTGAGGAACGTCTGAAGCAAAAGGCTCCTGAACTTAAAAAGGAACATTGGCACAATACGACCAATCACTTGCATCTTTGGTCTAATGGAGGAAAATGCAGTATTAAGAAAAGCAAACAGGAGGAAGGAAGTAAACATACTAGTTCAGAGTTGTTGGGGTCGCTGCTGATGTGAGGGAGGCCATTCAGAAGTGTGAAATCCACTGAACTCAACTGCTGGAAGAAAAGAGTTGACATTCTGTTGGGTGAGATGAGTGTGACATAAGAAAAGCACACAGATAACAACCCATTCTCAAACCTGCGGAGATGGGGGAAGGTTCCTTACATCCAATCCACAGAAATATTTGCTACCACTAGCTGGCGCAGAGTTCCAGTTAATCTACGGCAGAGAAAAAGAAGAAAAGTAAGAAGAAGAACCCAAAATCAGTCTTTAACGTTGAAATAAAGGAATTGACAACTCACCGGTTTTAAGTTACAGTCGTCTTCGTCATTGTCGGTGAAGTCCAACCCATACTGTGATCCTCTATTTCTCTTAAATAATGACTTCCGGCTGTATGTGTAGTGAGGCCTAGGCCTGCCCGGCAGCAATTGGCTGTCTGGCCCGTGGTCACCTTGTCCCATTTGGAACGGCAGCAAATGTCTCTGCCAAATGTTGCAGAGGTATTTAAGAACCAACACTGTTTAACATCCTCACTGCGAGAAAAAAGAGAACTAATTAGCTCAACCAAAATGAAGCCCCACCATCGCCTGTCTCTGACACTGGCGTAGTCGGCACTTCTGCCTCTTCTTGTTGCTGCCTCCGAACTTGGGTTTGTCTACACAGAAGTCGCACGTGCCGCAGTCTTTCCTGCAGAGACAGGCTTTGCATTCTCCACAGGATCGTCGCTTCCGCTTCTTATGCCACTTGAAAGTAAAGAAGCGCTTTGTTCATGTAATTACTTCAACACTGCAGGGAGCAACACAGCATAACAGAAGGAATGTGTTTTGACAAAATACAAACACACGCCTTAGTGATCATGTCATCATCATTTTGTCTTAATGAGACAGGAAGTTCTTTTTCTTTTACTTTCTAAAGTTAAAACTATAATAAATAATGCCACATTAGATCAAGTCATGGGTTTTCTTTTTTTAAATAACATTACAATTTGAGGTACATTTGGAGAAGACTTAGCAAGTGTACTACTGGCTTCTGCTCATAAAACGTATCAGCCACATTCTAACTAGAACCAAATCGAGAATACAAATGGAAAACATACTGGAAATGTGGTTTGACATGTTCCTATTTTGTTGTAATTTCTCACTCTAGGCATTCACAACTTGTTATTGAGAGAGTGGGTTAAACCCCAAAAAGCTCACATCATCATCATCGTCAGTCGACATGTCATCGTCATCGTCCACGTCCACGTTGACTGAGAAGTTCTCTGTGTCGCTGCTTTTGAGACTTGGGTGCTGTGTGAATTAAACATCACCAGTAACATGTGTTCATTCTCAGAAATATAGGTTTATATCTATACATTTACTCTTAAACAAAATGTATTAAAAGAAAAACTTACCTGTGAGTCTGTAACTTCACTCTGTAAAATGAAAACAAATGTTGGTAGATTTCAATGAGTGTGAAAGCCCTGTGTATCGTTACACCGTTATTACAACCTGCATTGTGGCCCATTTGGAATAACTGGATTCCCTCAAGAACCCATGGTTGCTTCAAAGATATCTTGGATCTGATCCCTATCAGTGGATTATTACCTGTAAACTCACGCTGTCCTCATACATGTCAGGAATGTCATTAGAGGGCTTCTGCGGCACGAAGCCTCCACCTCCAGGGCCCTGGTGGAGCAAAAGGCATCAATGCAAAAGCAGCATAGAAAACAAGCGTCCTGATAAACAGAAAAGGGGGCGTACCCAGCAGCCTACCTTGCGGATGGGACATATACATTTGCGTTTCCGACACAAGCGTTTCCTGGATTCTGGGCTCTGCAGTCCGTGTTTACAGTTGGCGCACTGCCCACAGTTCACCGTGTTGTGGCATCCCACGCACTGCCCACAAGGAATCCACTGAGGGAGAAGGGGGGGTACTCAATGTCATTTGCAATTTTCAGCACAATTCCAATTCTGGAAACAGTGTGATGCATAATTAAGGACATACATTTCCTCCGTTTTCCTAGACAAAAATGTTACACAACCGGTGGGTTTGCAGAACACAATTTACAAAAGGTATTACCTTTCTGAAACGAACCAGTGGATGCTCTTTTGACTTTGAGGCTGCTGGAATAAATGCATTGGATCAGTGCTCTGCCTCAGTTACTTCCACCATTTCTTTTGCCATTTCAAATGCTGAATTATCCCCAGAATCATGACAAGAAGAACCTGCCTTACCCCAACAGTTGGGACAGCAGGGCCTCTTCCTTTGTTTGTCATACCACGTGCCCGTGAAGGAAAGCCCACATCTGGCACAGACCCTGCAGGGAAGCACGGGAATGATATTTTCAATGAAACAAGCCGTTTAGACTTGAGGTGTATGGATATTTACATCAGCAGTCCAACGATGAATATGTAAACTTCAGTAATCATGGACTAACAGTGTGCTGTCCTCTGACCCCACTTCTCCATTAATGGAGGGGAGCAGGAGTGCTCTGGAGGACGAGGGACGGGGAAGTTTAATTCTATCTTGAGCGGGTACATCCACGTTGCGCGAGCCTTTGTTGGGAATTCCTATCGTACTGTGCCAGGAGAGATTGGTTGGGTTGGAGTGGAGGGTCGTGGGCCCCAGACTGGGGTTGGTGGGCATGTGTTGGGAGTCCGGAGTGTCGGCCCCATCTCCTCGCTCCAGCCAGCTGGACTCCGAGGATGAACGCTCACGGATTTTTCTCTAATGGATGAGAAAGGAGGGGATAGTAATTGTGAAACAAACACTTAAGTGCACGTCTTAAAATGTTTTAAGCGATGAAAAGAGCCCGTACCCTTGCTCTGTGTCGAATTCTTACGGGTTGCACTTCGCCCTCGTAGAACTTTCCGGACTTGTAGTCAAAGGTTGACATGTCTTGCTGTCCAACCATCAATGAAATCAGCTCTACTCGACTTCTCACTCGTTCCCCCCGCGGACTGTTAACAAAGAAATACATCACAACGTCAAAGATCTGGATGGCAGCCACTGAAAATGAAAACGTTCTTTTGTCATTCAGTCCCATGCTTCTGCTTCTACAATGACAATCAGAATACCACCCATTTTAAAAGTGGATTATGGTTACAGCTACTAATTACTGTATGTGTTGCTTCGTGGCGTATTCTCCTGTTCATTGTGTACACATGACATCCATTGTAGTCTGTCCGGCCCGGCAGAGGGATCCTCCTCAAACGTTCTCTCTAAGTTTCTTCCCTTTTTTTCCCCATGGAAGGGTTTTTCATTTTTTGGGGAGTTTTTCCTGTGCCGATGTTTCGGGACAGAGGATGTCGCATGTGTACAGACTGTAAAGCCCTCTGAGGCAAATTTGTATTTTTTGGCTATACAAAATAAAACGAATTTAAAAAAAAAGTGAATTGTATCATCCATGGTTTATTCTATGGAATGTAAAACAGCTGAAGTACCTCGTGACACTGATAGTTATGTAGTTAAACAATCCAAACTATAATCATAAAAGATAAAAAAGCAGCACATTCTCATATGAAGCATGTATCAGAAAATGTTGAGAATTCTGGCTCAATTTATTTTCAGCTCAGAGAAATATTATTTTGTTAAATGTTATTTTGACCACCGAGTAAACCAAAGATTGTTTGGCGGCATGATTTTAAAACAACTGTACATTGAGCGTGTTCACATTTCTACTAGGCAGTATTTACCTAAGGTAATATACATCCTTCTGTCCAATGCTAGATCCTGAGCGCCGGACTACTTCTTTGCGTTTCCAACCATCTCCAAGTATCGGCCATTCATCCCATCCTTCATCAGGATGCGATCGCTTTCGGCGAGGCCTTTGAAACCTGAATTGAAAAGAGAAGATCACAATCAAACAAAAAACATGTTGTGCAATGTATCACACAACATATCTTTCTGAAATATATATAAAAACATTACATGTCATTTAGCTGACACTTTTATCCAAAGCGACTTATAATAACAATACATTTTAATGGTAAACAAGTGTTTCTGTAGCATGTTGATTCAACAGTGTTGAGCTATTTAACCATTTAAAACTTACCATATAACGGTCTATTTCCTACCAAGCTACTATTACTATGAGGGACACCTACTTGTAAACCCTTTTGCAGACCGTCTCGCTGCCCGCCACGCTCTCGCTCCTCTCGCTTTCTCCGGCCAGGCTCTCCTCGTCATAGTCGTCGTCCTCGAGCGGCTCGAACCAGTCCACGGGAGGCTCGTCTCCAGCGACCTTATTCGCCTCATCTGCTTCGTCGGGAGTCCTGCAGAGCAGACCTGAGCTGGAGGTCTCCCGTGCCAGAGGCTCCAGAGGCTCCAGAGGCTCCGGCGCTGGTCCCGGTGCCTCATCTGTGCTTTGTTCCTCCACGTCCTTTTCCACGCGGGGCCCGTCGGAGACGGTGGGCTCCATAGTTCCGTTTGTTTTTGTTCCTCCTGAAGACGGTTAGGGTCTCCTCTGCAGCGGCATCCCGACGAGGTGCGCGCGGCTGTGTGTGTGTGTGTGTGTGTGTGTGTGTGTGTTTCGCTCAGGCGGATGAGCCGTCGGGATGTTCCGCAGCTGCACACGTTGTCATGACAGAATGGGAGAAACAAGACGAGGACGCTTCGGATGTGGGAACACGCCGAGCGCCATGAGGAGTTTTTAACGTGGCTCTGTTACGTCAGCGTGATGCGCGGACATGTGTTTGTTACAGACGACTTGTCAACGCGTATACAAAGCGAACAAACAAAAATAACGAGGACAGTTTCTCCCCGATTTAATAAACGCTAGATTTCATATTTAGTTAACGAAAATATTGCTTCCACGAAAAATACACGTTAGCTAAACAATAGCGCTGCGTTGTAACGTAAGCAAATTTCAAATAGCAAACACAACGTCAGCGACACAACTTAACAAACGCTGAACGCACTTTTAGGGCAGACAGCTCTCTGGTTCTCTGATAAATGTGATTATTTCTTAGCATTATAGCAGAAACAATTGATCTTAAAGCGGGACTGACGTGATTGCGGTAGTGTGAGCGTTAGCCACCGTTAGCTACAACGTCCCTCTAAAGCTACTATGTCAATATGTTGCCATTTCTCCTCTGGGTTAAAGAGCCGTACGTTGCCACCAGTTTAGAAACGTCTGCGGTTACGAAGCCCAACAAAGCGCACACACCTTTAGGGCAATATTACCCAGATGCTTGGCACACTGGTCCCCATAGGCACTAGTTTACGAGGTAGAGCTAACGTTGCTAGCTGGCTTTCATGCAACTGGCACCAGCGGAAACGGTTGTGAGACCAAAGAAGGCGAAATACTAAAGATGGTGATCCGCTCGGCCCGTGCTTTGCACCCGCCTGCACAGGGGACTACCAACATCACACTGCGATGTATACATCGGTCAGCAATGGTTTCTATTAACACGTACAGTTACTCATTTGATTTTATCATATTATTTATTATTATGTTAAGTGACTTTAGAAGTATTCCGTGACGAAAAAATGTAGTCATCCTCTACGACGTCTCTGTGACACATGGGGATGCTATATTAGTAACGATTATCACTGAGATGTATCATAATGTATTTCTTCACGTCTGCAACTAATTAAAAAATGACCAAATATCGTGAAGAACTGCCGGCTGGCAGTTTCAGCTAAGGTATTTGTTAGCTATTTTAGCTAGCAACATAGCTACAATTAACCGTAAATAACACTCAATGAGACAAATTATCTTTGTTGCTTCCTCATATCAAATAGCAACCATTCATTTTCTCTTTGGAACATGGAAAAATATGTTTGCACACAAAAGTAAGACCTGCACAAACAACGGGCAAAAGGGAGGGACTTCTCTTCTCATTTCAGTCTTCAGAAGCTTCATTTGGCATTTAAGTGTGCTGCCTTCACGGGTCATCGGAAAGAGGGGTTCAGACTACAGGCACCTGAAGGCAAAAGCTAACGGTTTTATATTTCAAAATGAGATTGTCTTATAGTTATAGCTTGCTGTTGAAAAGGCGGTGCAACGCCACTGACTCCTATTTGCATAAGATAGTGTAAATAAAGACTTTCACAGCTATTCAGGCAACACAGCATGAATGAACTTGGGTTGCTTTTTTGTATTTTTGTGAAATGCACTCAACATGTCAGTAATTTTGATGTAATGGACACATGCACAGCACAAGAGATGGAAACTGTAAAACAATCCGTCTCTAAATCTTACCAATCCGAGCTTTGTATGATTAGTAGGAGGTTTAGCATATGCTGCCAGAAGAAATGTTTGCAGTCCTTTATCTCAATTAAGTTCTAGATGCACACTTTTTTTTCTTCTGTTTCTCATTGTTCAGGTCCTATGAACAAGGGATTATTTAGTAAGATAAAACTGAACAAATAAGAAAAAACAAAACAGAAGGGGCATACTTTTGACTCACACAACCAATTCCCCCACTGAAAGGTGGTAGTGATTGTTCTGTACTTTTTTTTTTTTTTGAAATGGTAGTGAAGGACAGACCTCCCACCTTGCACACATTGTGTGTAGGAAGGCTAATAGAACAGATGGACCAACAATGGAATCATTTGAACACAGACACCTTTATCAAAGCAAGTTTAAGGTGTTTATTCATGGAAATAATACCAAAAACAGTTTTCAATCAGCTGAAGTTATCTACCACAGTCAGGTAAAAATATATTTCCATTTACCTCTTACAGTTGATTATTATACAAAGATTTTAAAATAGGAATCTAGTTAGAAAATAAGATTTCCTCCGAATGGTATTAACCATTTAAATCCTCAAACCTCAAATATCCACAGATCAGAGAACAGGTGTAGGTCCCAGGTGGACTACCTTTCCTTGTTGCTACGGAGATCAGTCGTCACAGGGTCGTGCTGAATAGTTTGGTGCAACATCAGAGCGAGCAGACCAGCTCTGTTGGTCATAGCAGTCCTGACATTACGCTCCTGTTCGAAGAGCTCGTCCAACTTGTACCACTGCAGGGAAGAAAAGGCGCCATTTCAACAAAAAGACCTTATAGATCTCGATTCATTGAAAACGTGGTGCATTTCCGGTTCTGTTCACTGAGGCCGAAGCAACACTTATGGTGTTTGACCTACCACCCTGACTCGCTCCAGGTCCACCTCTGCTCTCCTCAGCTTTTCCCAGTTGTAATGCTTGTTGCATTTCCTTTTGGAGACCCTGCAGTAGTCTCCGGTCAGCTCGAACACATTCTTCACCAGAGGGCATCCACACACCTCCTCATTGGGAATCTAGTCACCAAAAGAAAACAATTAAATAAGTAAGAAGTTCCTGACGTGAACACTACTACGAGTTTAATAAATCATTAGTATCACTATACTTTAGTTATTTAGTTATAATCATATAAAGTGTCTGAGAGCTTTCCACCAACCTTAGGATCTCTGGAATGTTCTGGACACAAAACCTGAAGCCTCTTACAATAGGTTTTACTTTGGGGATTGTAAACATCACAGAAGAGTCTGGTTGCTCTGCATGAAAACAAATGTGCTCGTAAAAGAACTCAATTCGAAAAAAAGTTGTTTTATATGTTAAGATTTTTTTCTCCTCACCCTTCTATCCTCGTAGGGTACATGGAACCAAAGGAGGTCTGACTCTCATACTGTCAACAAAACCATTCACGGGGGAAAATGTTAAAAGTAGTCTATATGCTTTTGTTTGAGATTATATTTGATGGCAGCAGCAGGAATGTTGTACAGAACATAGTCACCTTTGCGTAACATCTCTCCATATGTCTCAGCGCCACTTTTGGATTGATGGGATGACTACAAGACACACAGAAAATCTGCAGGTCCGTGTCCTCGCTGTCACCTTCATTCACCTGCAAATAGAAACCCAAAACATTTTTTCCTTAATGAAAAAGCGTTACCTCTGCTCTTCTTTAAAAGCCTCACATGAACAAAGACCCGTCTCAGACTTTGACAAGACCCACAGGGATGTATCCAGACCGCTCACCTCCTCGTCCTGCTGCACCGCCTGCTGCTTGGCCTTTGCTATGATGCCTTCCAGCTCGTGGAAGCGCCGCTCCATCTCTGTGAGGCGGAGTCGGGCGTTCTGCTGTTCCCGACGGATGCGCTCCAGCTGCTTCTTACCGTGCTCCTCGGCGATGCAGGGGCTCTGCTGCCACTGCTGGATGCGCTGAGGGAGGATCTCATAGATCCGACTGGATAAAAAAAAACACACACGGTTCAATGCATTTAAATGCTGAAAAAAATTAAAAAAGAGGAAGAAGCAGAAGAATAAATGGTGATACATACAACAAATTGATTTAAATTCATTTTATGAGCACGTCATTCTTCTTACACTAGGTGGAGCAATAGTACTAAAATAACCCTTTACCATAGGCAGAAAATCAATTAATCTTAAATATAAGAATATAATTGACTTGACGGGTTGGTTTTGTTTGTTCAAAGCAGGTCATTCGGATAACAGAATCTAGCCTTATAGTAATGTATGAAAGGTAAAAGTTCTTACTTGGCCGCTAACTTCATGCCACAGTCCTCAGAGCAATACTTTGAGTTGGGTTTTGTTGCCTCCACACAGTTCGGGCCCAGACACTGCCGCTGTCCGGTGTTATCCCGGAGCTCGCCCTTCTCGCTGTATCTGGTTCGGTCTTTGTGCTTCTGCTTTTGTTTGTGGCGTCGTGACTCCTTCTTGATGGTTAAAAAAAAAAAAGGTAACAGACAGAATGTTATTTACAATCTGCTGTGTTGAGCTCTGACAGCACATGATGTAATAATGATCATTTGTCTGAGGAAACTTACTTTCTTGTCAAACTTCTTCTCTCTTCTCTTAACATGCTTCACTTTCACAGCTTTTTTACGCACAACGGGACTGAAGGGCGGCTCGTCATCATCATCACTATTCCATGCCTGAGTGAGGAGTGCAAAACGAAAGAAGGGACTAAACATACAGTTGCCGATCAAGTGTTTGAGCTGATGATGGAATGCATCTGAAACAAGCATGTTTGTATGAATCAAGGTGGTGTCCAATGTTCTCCTACCATGCTGCTGTTTATCCCTGCTGCCTTGTACTGCATGTAAAGATCCGCCTCACTGTCGTAGTCCTCAGAGTACCGTCTACGTCTGTTGTCCCTCCTTTCTTGCAAAGACATTTCTTCATCCTTCACACGCAGCATTTTCTACATAAAAACCACAAGCAACAGGTTGCACATTACCAAAGAAGCCACAAGGGAGAGCACAGATACACCAGAGATCTGGGAGCACTAAGCCTTTCAAGGAATAAAACAAGGACTGTACGAATTCTAGTTTGATTTAAAAACGAACTTTGTGTTTATGAACTGTAACTATTCTAGTAAAATAACTTTGAAGATATAACAACAACAACAAAAAAGCAGACCAAGATGATAAAACAGTGCAGTGCATGTTAAATATTCTCCTACGCTTTGTAGGCATAATCTTATTTAAAAACAACGAAGAGATGAAGTGACATACCCTGGCTCGAACCTCACATTGCCTGAACCTGCACTTCTGTCTGATCTTGTTGGGGCCTCCAAACTTCTTCATGTCCTTGCAGAAGTCACACAGGGCACAGTCAACAGTCCTTCTGCAGGGCTCACACTCCCCACACATTCGGACCGACCGCTTCACCTGAGGAAAATCACACGATGGAGCATTGCATCCTATGTTCATTTGTTTTCATCCTACATTATGTTCGCCAACACTAAAATGCATCACAACTGCTTACAGCACAATTCATATTCAGACGACTCAATTAGGAACTTTTTTGATGCTCTTCAGGCTTAGCAGTCAAACCTAAAAACCGCTTACTTTAGACCCACGTCGCCTTTCACTCTTATAGTCAGGAGTACTCGGGGTGCTATACTGTCGATCGGATCCTCTGTCAGACTCTGCTTCCTTCTCTCGGTTTTTCTTTGTTCTATATTTTATTTCCAGTGTGGGGTTTTTATCTGGTGAGAGAGAGAAAAACACAACAGCGTCACTTTGATCCTTTGTGACGCATTCCAGCGTTACACTCTTACATGCTGTGGCAGGTGGCAAGATGTTCTTCATCACCTCTGCATCTCATGCAATACCATTCCCGGATTGCCTTTGCAGTCTTTTCAGTGATGTTGATGCAGTGGCCATGGAACCACTCATTACATTTATCACAGCCACTGTCAGCGAGAGAAACAAATGAAGAAAACAATGACGATCATTGTCGCAACCATACGCAGCAATGGTTGAAACGACAGGATTGGCGAGGTGATCGTACATCATGAAACAGTTGATGTCTGGTTTCCGACAGATACAGTACAGGGGCGCGTTCTCCCCCTCCATGCTGCTGGTCTCCGGCCCTGGTACGTGGTCAATGTCAGACAGTTCACTGTCCTGAAACAAGGGAGAAAAACAGCACATCACAACTCGTGGAATTACACTGAACATTATCACCTAGCTGCTGGACATAGTGGCTTTTCAATTACAAAGAAAATAAAAATGAATTGTAAAGTGTATTTCCTTCTCAACAATAGCCCTGGGGTAATAAATAAAAAGGCTTGTGTGGCAGTAACATGGGATTTTTCCTTTTCCTTTGCTGGTATTGTTCTAAATATTGCTTTGATATGTGTAATAATACACAGTGAAAGAATGATCTCTAACATTTGAAAATGAAACAAAGCAGCTTTTTCTTTTAATAGCTAACTTCGATGACCTAACCAACAACAATATATTTAATGAGATCTTTATAGAAATAATTTAAAGTTTAACCTTACGGTCAACTAGTGTATGTAACGTTACTAATTACGTTATATTATCAACTATTAAAGACAGAACGTCATGCTTTGAAATAACGTTAGTTAAAATACGAGTAGTTGGTAAGCCATCTTCGAGGAATATCAATTAAAACTTGGATACACACAAACTACTGTATGTCGCAGTGAGCAGCTAATCGTCCATTAGCATCAGCTAGCTAGCTAGCTAACTTAGCTCGCTTGTCAGTTAAAGATGGAGCTGGCGTTATGTTTGCCAGCCAACGTTATCTTTATCGTACCAAATCTCAACGACTTTTAATGTATACATTACTGTATTGATATTATTCAACAACAACGTGTATTTAAACGATACATTAACGTGATAAGTTAACGTTAGTTCACAACATGCTCCTGCGGGATGTAAAGTTACGGGCGTGGAACCTATTCCTCCCGTATTGAATTCGGCGTAGTTAGCATAGGTAGCTTTTTATCTCATACGTACCATTGTGAGGGATTTGTAACGTTAACTGGTGGGTCGTTCTGCAAATATAAAGGGAATGCAACACGACAACAGTAATCCAACTAGCTCGATAGCTAGCCTTCGTTCAAAGTGTACACGGATATAACGTTAGCGCAGTCGGCCGATCACGTACTCGTAAAATTATAGTAGAGAGACAGTTCTTCTTCTCTGGTGGCAAACAAACAGACAATGCTGCCCCCTGCTGTGGATCAAATGGCGCAACTTAATTCAAATGGCGCAACTTGAAGGATAAATGTGCGTGCACCAGACACACAATTTAAACAGTGTTACGATTATTGTATCGTCATATTATCTCTAGAAGATATATGATACACTCAGAACATGCCTGGCCAGTACAAACTGAATGCTTGATTTACGAACTATTCACATGAACTATTTATCACTATTTATCAGCAGACTTGTGTGATGGACTGCATCCGGGCAGAAGCTCTGTGGAAATGTGATGTCTTCTCTTCAAGTCCCCATCCCTTTATACTCTCTGACCAAACAGGACAAGGGGGGGGAGAAAATCACAGCTCACACAGACATGTGACAGCACACTTCTATTTTTCTACAACTAAAATTATTTAGAAAACAAAACTTTTCGAATAACTGTGTGCAATTTCAAGGAATCAGGTATCAGGAAACATTTATTGCCAAAATATGTCATACATACAAGGAATTTGACTTGGCGGTTGGTGCGTGACAGTAGATAGTGTAACAATAGACAAGACAGCAGTGCACAAGTAATAAAATAAAATGAAATGCTAATGCTATTGGTTAGTAGAATGAGGCTATGGGTTAGTATACAATAAGAGAATAAAGTTCAGTTAAAAATTAAAAATGTTTAAAAAGTTTAAAAATATTAAAATAAAGTGCACTAGTGAACAAGTGACAAAGTGACGAGTGACGACAAAGTGACGAGTGACGACAAAGTGACGAGTGATGAATGACAGTTAAAGTGACGTGTGCAGTGTGAAGGGAGTGACCGGTGGGATGTCAGAGTCAGTCAGTGGGGGACCGGCTCTGTTGATGAGCCCGACTGCCGACGAGAAGAAACTGTTGGTGTGGCGGGAGGTCTTAGTCCTGATGGACCTCAGCCTCCTGCCAGATGGAAGGGGCACAAACAGGTTTTGTCCGGGGTGAGAGGGGTCGGGCACGATCTTTTTAGCTCGCTTCAGAGACCTGGAAGCGAACAAGTCCTGCAGGGACGGCAGATTGCAGCCGATCAGCCTCTCTGCAGAGTGGAGGACACGCTGCGGCCTGCCCTTGTCCTTGGCTGTGGCTGCAGCGTACCAGACGCTGATGGAGGAGCAGAGGATGGACTCCATGATGGCCGTGTAGAAGTGGACCATCATCGTCTTTGGCAGGTTGAATTTCTTCAGCTGCCTCAGGAAGAACAACCTCTGCTGAGCTTCTTGGTGATGGAGCTGATGTTCAGCTCCCACTTGAGGTCCCCTGTTTTTGAATAAATAAAATAATAAATGTCGTCCTCGTCATAAAAACTACAATACAAACTACAAACAAAGCATCATGTATTTTGTAATTAAATGTTCTAATAAACAACAGCAGGTCAAAGAACTCCGGAATTAATCTCAATCAGAATTATTTGCATAAACTGAAAGTCTACTGAGGGCTGAATTGAAGTGAATAAACAAGCAGACGTACATACATGGTTTTTTAACATAATTCGATATATCTTGATTACTTTTGACCTGAAGTTTTTCTTTTTTTTTATGGTTACGGCCTTTAAGTGTATGTTCAAATCTTCATAATGAATGAATCCATCTCCATCTTAATCTGCCTCTTTCATCATCTGCTACGCGCCAATCTTTGGTGGTTTAACTGCATTCATTTGTACATGTCTAGAAATTAATATTTAACGTTAGGAAAACACTAGAAATCAGGATCAGGATCAGGAATCAGGAAACATTTATTACCATAATATGTCAGACATACAAGGATTTTGACTTGGCGGTTGGTGCATGACGGTACGACAATGGACCGCAAAACAACAGGAATCAAATAAAATATAAGGCTATGGGTTAGTTTAAAAGGAAAGGAATAAAAGTTTTTAAAAGTTAAAAAATTCACAGTCCACAGTGGTGACGGGGGAGTCACACAGGGTGATGGGGAAGCGTGGTGAAATCCACAACCATCTCCACAGTCTTCAGAGCATTGAGCTCGAACCGCCAACCTTGCGGTTCCCAGCGCACCCTTTCTACCCCTGCGCCACGTCGACCTATAGGAGGACTCGTCCCCACCAGAAATCAGTCCAACGAGGGTGGTGTCGTCTGCAAACTTCAGGAGCTTGACGGACTGGTGACTGGAGGTGCAGCTGTTTGTGTGCAGGGTAGAGTAGAGGGGAAAGAACGCAGCCTTGGGGGGAACCGGTGCTGATGGTCCGAGAACCAGAGACATGTTTCTGCGTTGGCTCCTGGGGAGACCAGATGCTGGAGGATGAAGTAGAGGGCCGTGTTGACAGCATCGTCTCCAGACCTGTTGGCTCTGTAGGCGAACTGCAGAGGATTGAGGAGTGGGTCAGTGAGGGTCTTCGGGTGGGTCAGGACTAGCCGTTCAAAAGACTTCCTGACTACAGAGGTCAGGGCGACGGGCCTGTAGTCATTGAGTCCTGTGATCCTGGGCCTCTTGGGGACAGGGACGATGGTGGAGGCCTTGAAGCAGGCTGGTACTTGGCATGTCTCCATGCAATATGACACAATAATGTCAGTAAACACCACCAAGTAGATATAGTTTTTTCAATTTGGTTTGTTTTATCTAATTTTAATTTGGAATCCAAACAAATAAATGTACAACGCAGTGTAATCACAATGGATCAGATGGACAGTTGATACTTATTCAGTAGTACTTACTTTGTGAGGAGGAATGTTTTATATTATTAACACTGCATCTCTGAAATAAACCAGTGGTCACTGGTTTCAATGAACAAATTGAATTAATTCGTTGAATGATATTTTAGCATTAAGTTACGTCTTCTGTTTTCCTATATATTTACGAGAACCCCTAGATTTGATTAATATTCTTCTGTTTCGATGAAAACGGTATAGGGCTGCTATTCCTTGACATTAACACAAGAATGAAACAAGAAAGGAAATGGTGAATTATAATATACCAAAGAAAGTCAACTTAAAAGATTCAGAAAATCTTGGTGCTGTTTTTAAAATTATTTTCTGGCCACATAATGAAGCCTTTTTTAATATCTTATATTCCTAGTGTGGAAATGTGATCATATTATGAGGTAATTGCTTATGTAGGTGTTGGTGTGTGCATGTATGGGCATGGCTTTTACATTTTTGCCCGGGCAATTGGGGGTCAGGTGTCTTGCTCAGGGACACTTCGACATGGAACATGGAGCAGCCGGGGCTCAAACCGCCAAACATGCGGTTCCCAGCGCACCCGGCAGTTTCTAACACTCTTTTGTACTCGTTATTCGTGACTTGCAGAATTTCAATTAACATTTAACAAGACATTGGAGAACAAACCAGCACAGCATCTGGATTTACTTCATGTTGTACTGAACAATGTCACTAACATATAGCCTGTTTACTCTTGTCTGTGGAGTTAGATCCTTCCTGAGGACTGGACAGGCACTGTGCAAACAGTTACCGAAGAATGATGAAGACGTTTCTGCTTCATCGCAGCTACAGTTCTAATGCTCTTTCCCCAGAGGTTAAAGGCACGCTTTGTGGCCTTTTATGGATAAAGTTGCTAATCACCATGAGGAATATTTAGTTACTCAAGTAACAAAAGGCAATCTGCTTTATAATAATATTGGAAGATAAATGGTTTCATAAATATGTAATCAGTTCAAATATAATGCCATACTCACACAAGAATAATATAGAGAAGATAACGAAATATGAAAAATATCAGATGCATTTTCTGAACTCAACATCACACAATGTGCTTTAGGGAACTGCAACCAGCTTGCTGTTAGCCATTCTTTTTGACTTTAACATAATATCTTTTTCTGTAATCAGGTTTCTAATGAAAGTTCCAGCACAATTACACAGAAAATGTATGAACAGCAAATAGATGATTTCCGATTGTTTTGTGATATTTCAGGTGAATGTTTATATTACGAAAACTTCCCCAAACAACACCACAAAAAGGAGCAATAACTAGTAACTTTGATGTTAAAGTATATATGACGTGTAGCCCATTCTAAATATACATGCAAGTACCCGGGCACCACAGCAAGACACCGCACTATTTCCTAATTAACGATGGCCAGATGTTTTTGTTTTGACAGTGCTATTATTAGCTATTGGAATCGTTTCTACTAATTCCTTCTTCGGGAGTTTGGGGTCCGAACAAACCGACGCATCCTCTTCGTTTCATAGACCGTTTGTGACGAAGTTCTCTACCAGATGATCGATGTGATCCACCGGCTGTGATTAAACACCCCTCGAACGTTCTCTACCCGCCGCTGCTGCAGCGTGGGGTTTCCCGGCGCCGACTGCAGGGTCACCGCGCCCATCTCCGCCACATCTCGCCGTTCGATGGCCGGACGAGAGCGTAACTACGGAAAGGGCAGATGTTAGGCTTGGCAAAAAGGGGAGAGACAATAGGCTGGTCTTGTTGAATGAGGTATAGTGACTTTAAAATTAGGAGTGTTTTTATGTGTTTGTTTCCCTGTGCTGTTGTCTTTGCTAGAGGGGGTAGTGGGTGTGCTTAGTCTCCCCCTCCCCTCCCCTCCCCTCCCCGCTTGGCTGACTGAGGTTGTCGAGCTTCCCTTAGCCGTAGCCTGCGTTCGGGAAGGGCTGCTCCTCGGAAAAAACTAACGCTAGCCGGCTAGCTAGTGAGTGAGTGAGCGAGCGAGCGAGCGCTGTTCGTCGATGCGTGGATCGGAGGCACACACCGTCTCGCTTTCCAGTCAATGCCAAAACGCAAAAGAACCAAACGCAAATTGACCCAGGTAAGGTGAAACGATGCGAAGATAATGCTGCTTCCGCCCAACTGGGATGTTTACGCTGTTTGCTGATGAATTTGCGGCGGAGAACCGTCCGGGGGTGGGGTGGCGTTAGCGAGAGATCGCCTGCTAGCCGTTTAGTTAGCTAAGGTGTGCTAACGAGCAGTCGGCTACTTGAGCAAATACGAGCAGATAAGCGCCAGGGGCGTCTGCAGCGGTGGATCCCGATGTTCAGTATTCGC